GATTGTCTGATGGCGTACGGGTGGACCTGCTACTACTTAAAAGTGGAAATAAAATTTCCTATTATTCAGGATTATATTAGGCTCATTCCCTACTACAACGTAGATAATTTCCTGACTACGAAAATTATTAAATTTAGAAAAACTAAATTTTTTTTGAATTTTTGACCAAATTTTGATAGTCTGATGGCGTTCGGGTGATGGTGCTACTACTTAAAAATTGAAATAAAATTTCCTATTATTCAGGATTATATTAGGCTTATTCCCTACTACAACGTAGATAATTTCCTGACTACGAAAATTATTAAATTTAGAAAAACTAAATTTTTTTTGAATTTTTGACCAAATTTTGATTGTCTGATGGCGTACGGGTGGACCTGCTACTACTTAAAAGTTTAAATAAAATTTCCTATTATTCAGGATTATCTTAGGCTAATTCCCTTCTACAACGTAGATAATTTCCTGACTACAAATATTATTAAATTTGGAAGAAATAAATTTTTTTTGAATTTTTGACCAAATTTTGATTGTCTGATGGCGTTCGGGTGATGGTGCTACTACTTAAAAATTGAAATAAAATTTCCTATTATTCAGGATTATATTAGGCTCATTCCCTACTACAACGTAGATAATTTCCTGACTACGAAAATTATTAAATTTAGAAATACTAAATTTTTTTTGAATTTTTGACCAAATTTTGATTGTCTGATGGCGTACGGGTGGACCTGCTACTACTTAAAAGTTGATATAAAATTTCCTACTATTCAGGTTCATTTTAGGCTTATTCCCTACTACAACGAAAATACTTTCCTGACTACGAAAATTATTAAATTTAGAAAAACTAAATTTTTTTTGAATCTTTGACCAAATTTTGATTGTCTGATGGCGTACGGGTAGACCTGCTACTACTTAAAAGTTGATACAAAAATTTTCTACTATTCAGGTTCATTTTAGGCTTATTCCGTTCTACAACGTAGATCATTTCCTGACTACAAATATTATTAAATTTGGAAGAAATAAATTTTTCTTGAATTTTTGACCAAATTTTGATTGTCTGATGGCGTTCGGGTGATGGTGCTACTACTTAAAAGTTGAAATAAAATTTCCTATTATTCAGGATTATCTTAGGCTCATTCCCTTCTACAACGTAGATAATTTTCTGACTACGAAAATTATTAAATTTAAAAAAACTAAATTTTTTTTGAATTTTTGACCAAATTTTGATTGTCTGATGGCGTACGGGTGGACCTGCTACTACTTAAAAGTGGAAATAAAATTTCCTATTATTCAGGATTATATTAGGCTCATTCCCTACTACAACGTAGATAATTTCCTGACTACGAAAATTATTAAATTTAGAAAAACTAAATTTTTTTTGAATTTTTGACCAAATTTTGATTGTCTGATGGCGTACGGGTGGACCTGCTACTACTTAAAAGTTTAAATAAAATTTCCTATTATTCAGGATTATATTAGGCTCATTCCCTACTACAACGTAGATAATTTCCTGACTACGAAAATTATTAAATTTAGAAAAACTAAATTTTTTTTGAATTTTTGACCAAATTTTGATTGTCTGATGGCGTTCGGGTGATGGTGCTACTACTTAAAAGTTGAAATAAAATTTCCTATTATTCAGGATTATATTAGGCTCATTCCCTACTACAACGTAGATAATTTCCTGACTACGAAAATTATTAAATTTAGAAAAACTAAATTTTTTTTGAATTTTTGACCAAATTTTGATTGTCTGATGGCGTACGGGTGGACCTACTACTACTTAAAAGTTGAAATAAAATTTCCTATTATTCAGGATTATCTTAGGCTCATTCCCTTCTACAACGTAGATAATTTCCTGACTACAAATATTATTAAATTTGGAAGAAATAAATTTTTTTTGAATTTTTGACCAAATTTTGATTGTCTGATGGCGTTCGGGTGATGGTGCTACTACTTAAAAATTGAAATAAAATTTTCTATTATTCAGGATTATATTAGGCTCATTCCCTACTACAACGTAGATAATTTCCTGACTATGAAAATTATTAAATTTAGAAAAACTAAATTTTTTTTGAATTTTTGACCAAATTTTGATTGTCTGATGGCGTACGGGTGGACCTGCTACTACTTAAAAGTTGAAATAAAATTTCCTATTATTCAGGATTATAATAGGCTCATTCCCTACTACAACGTAGATAATTTCCTGACTACGAAAATTATTAAATTTAGAAAAACTAAATTTTTTTTGAATTTTTGACCAAATTTTGATTGTCTGATGGCGTACGGGTGGACCTGCTACTACTTAAAAGTTTAAATAAAATTTCCTATTATTCAGGATTATCTTAGGCTCATTCCCTTCTACAACGTAGATAATTTCCTGACTACGAAAATTATTAAATTTAGAAAAACTAAATTTTTTTTGAATTTTTGACCAAATTTTGATTGTCTGATGGCGTACGGGTGGACCTGCTACTACTTAAAAGTTTAAATAAAATTTCCTATTATTCAGGATTATATTAGGCTCATTCCCTACTACAACGTAGATAATTTCCTGACTACGAAAATTATTAAATTTAGAAAAACTAAATTTTTTTTGAATTTTTGACCAAATTTTGATTGTCTGATGGCGTTCGGGTGATGGTGCTACTACTTAAAAGTTGAAATAAAATTTCCTATTATTCAGGATTATATTAGGCTCATTCCCTACTACAACGTAGATAATTTCCTGACTACGAAAATTATTAAATTTAGAAAAACTAAATTTTTTTTGAATTTTTGACCAAATTTTGATTGTCTGATGGCGTACGGGTGGACCTGCTACTACTTAAAAGTTGAAATAAAATTTCCTATTATTCAGGATTATCTTAGGCTCATTCCCTTCTACAACGTAGATAATTTCCTGACTACAAATATTATTAAATTTGGAAGAAATAAATTTTTTTTGAATTTTTGACCAAATTTTGATTGTCTGATGGCGTTCGGGTGATGGTGCTACTACTTAAAAATTGAAATAAAATTTTCTATTATTCAGGATTATATTAGGCTCATTCCCTACTACAACGTAGATAATTTCCTGACTACGAAAATTATTAAATTTAGAAAAACTAAATTTTTTTTGAATTTTTGACCAAATTTTGATTGTCTGATGGCGTACGGGTGGACCTGCTACTACTTAAAAGTCGAAATAAAATTTCCTATTATTCAGGATTATATTAGGCTCATTCCCTACTACAACGTAGATAATTTCCTGACTACGAAAATTATTAAATTTAGAAAAACTAAATTTTTTTTGAATTTTTGACCAAATTTTGATTGTCTGATGGCGTACGGGTGGAACTGCTACTACTTAAAAGTTTAAATAAAATTTCCTATTATTCAGGATTATCTCAGGCTTATTCCCTACTATAACGTAGATTATTTCCTGACTACGAAAATTATTGAATTTAGAAGAAATAAATTTTTTATGAATTTTTGACTAAATTTTGATTATCTGATGGTGTACGGGTTAATTAAATATTTCTATTCAATAAATAATTAAATAAATAAAATTATGAATCATTAAAATTCAAGAAACAAAAATCAGAATAGATTTTTCAACATTAACTTTTGCGTGAGCTCATAAAAAAGAGATCAGCAATGCTGATATTATTAATGCCCGTGTCATCACAACTAATACCAAAGAAACTAATTCAATAAAGACTAACTAAAGCTATATACACATGTCACTCTTATAAAAAAAAATAAGGGGGAGGAAAGAGATCCTTCTATGAGCTGCTGGCACCCAGTTCCTTTATCTTTCATTACAGGGCCAGAGGGGTGGAATTTTGTGACATTTTTCTTTACGTTCAAAGTGAATAGAATAGAATCTTAAACAAGTTTCTCTATTATCTCTTTTGAAGGGAGAACAAAAAAAAAATTAGACCTTAAAAGACAAGTGGGATTTTTTACGGATTATATTTTTTTTTCTTGACTACTTCCATCGCATACATATTGATAATTAAATTCATAAAGATTAAAAGCTTATGAAAGCGTCAAAGGAAGTTAATAATATTTTATGATGACATTTCATGAAAAATTATATATGTAGGAGGAAGAAATTACCTACTTTAGAGTATATACTTAAAAATTTATCCCAGCGAAGAATAATTGTTAAATCTTATGTGAAATATGGAAAATGATAGAATAATTAGTGGAAAATGTAAATAATGTAAAAAATTTCATAAATATAATAAAGGAAAATTGGTCTACTTTCCAGAATGAATATTTTGTGAAGCGATTATTAACAATTAACTAATGTATGCAACAGTTAATTTAAAAGAAATTTTTTCAATTATGTAAAAAATTCAATTATAGTTAAAACAATAAACATCGATTTTTCTGTATAGGAAGTAAAATAATTAATATTTTTTAAATACAAATAACTCATATAGTAGATAAAAATAAAAATATTAATATTAAAATTTTCTATTTATAATTTTCACAATTAAATTTTGTAATACGATATGATTAACTATGCAGAAATAAATTATGTAATTTCTGTAAAATGATTTTAGAGAAAATTTATATAGAGAGAAATTAAACTCTTTTAGAAAATATATTTGGAAGTACAAATTATTAAATAATTTCCTACTTATTTTTAACAAATAAAATAATTTTACCTCTTAGTATTTCATTATTTTATGCAAAGGCGTAAATTTCTTGAAACTAAATTTGTAAACGAGAAGAATAAAATTTTTATCGATGTTTATCGTTCTAATCTAAAAATGAATTTACTGTAAATAAAAAAAAAGTCTTCACCTTATTTACAAAACAATTTTGTAAATTTGAGCTTATATTTTTTTTTCATTAAAATTAATAATCTATTTTCCTTTCTTTTTTTATATGAAAAAAGCCACAAATCGAAAATATCATTTCCCAAGTATCAACATTTGAATTATTATTGAATATTTATATATTTTAACTCACCAATTCCAAAAATTATTGCATAAAATCGAAAAACTTACAGTTAAATTTCCATCCTTGAAGAATCGCACCTCAGATAAATTTTAATATTCAAGTCGTTTGTTCCCGGGGATGAGAATAATGTGAAAAACTCCAAAATAGCCATTCAATGTAAGAAGAGAGAAAAATGACTTGGATTTTTTGTTTGGTTTTTCGAAACATAATAGAGGCCATCAATGGTAGAATCTGGAAAATAAATAATACAATTATCAAATTATGCAAAAATCATCGCCAAATTACGAGAAAAAATCAAAACATACAGAACAGAAGTAAAAAAAAAATCTGACAAGAAACATAACCTATAATCTAAATCGTAAAGGAATGTGAAGTCGTACGTCTGCAGAAACAATCAAGATGGGGATTTTTATGAAAATACTCACCATTGTTGGAAAAATAGGCCCAAAAATAACAAATGATTCAACAAAAATACAAAATCAAATAACTATTGTCCAAGAGCAGTGAAAATGTAAATACTCTGATTGGCGCAATGTATAAATGGCGCGAATCGCTCTTTACACTTAACTGCCACCTAGCGTCCGTTTATGGAACTAACAATACAGTTGCCTACAATACCGACATTGATTCGCATTCCTATTGGTGTTTGAAATAAGCGCGGAAATTTAAATTACATATAATGAAGAGAATGAAAAGAAAATAAATTTTCTTAATTTTATTACTTAATTTATTTTCGTAATTATTGTTTTTTTAATTTTTTCCTACATTCGTAGATATTACTTTGTATTTTAATTATTGTATTTAAATATCATTCGTAATAATGTAATGAAATATTTAATTATTCCTGTTAAAAATAATTAATTATAAAGAATTGAAAAATATTAAATAACTATTTATTCATATCTAGCAAGTTTTATGTTAATTAGACTCATAATTAATTTTTATTCATTTCTTTTAAAGCCAACGACCACTATGAGTGTGAATTAATAAAGAAAATAAAAATTTTCCGATGTTTATCATTCTAACCTAAAATTTTTTTTTTATTCATCCGTATTTATTCCTCATCAAATTAAAAGGTACTTTTGTCACAAAAAATTATTTCATACTTACAATTTTAATTGAATTTCCTTCCACGGAAACCTCGATCCTCATGACGCGAATTTTTTGTTGCTGGCATCTGAAATTTCGCAGCGAAATTCTGGCCATCAAATGAGGGGATCTGAAAAATAAATGCCAGTTTTCAATTATTATGCATCATTGACAAATTGGGAAAAGAAATAAATACATTTTGATCAGATATTAAGTAACATTTGACAACGAACATAACCTATAATGTTAGTCATAAAGGAATGTGAAATCTCATGACTATAGAAACCATCTGCATGGGAATTTTCTGCAAATACTTACTATTTATGGAAAAATACTGCCAAAAATAACAAGCAACGCCATCACTGAATAATTTGTTCAAAGAAATGTGAGAAAAAAGAAACTTTACTTGACTATAGACGGACAATAATTGCGAAGTAGATTCTACACATCTGACAACTAGCGGCCGTTTATGGAACTAAGAATCTACCAACTCAGATGCCGCCTTCCTATTGGTGTTTCAAATTAGCGCGGAAATTTGAATATTGCAAATACTAATGTAAACTTGAAACGTAACTTTTAATAAATAATAAATAATTAGAAACAAATTTTAAATAATTCTAAACAATTATAAGAAGGCAAACTTAATTTCTTAATGTAATTATTTAATTGCAATCTTTTAATTATTATTTATTTTTTTAATTTTCTAGTTGTTTTTGTACAAATGGGGCCGTTCAAAAAATACGTAAAGCTTTTTTTTTTGGGGGGGGGTCAAGCTATTTGTTATACAGAAAAAATGGCGCTAATGTATACAACATTGCGTTAAATAGGGGGTGGGGGGGTGTCCAAATTTTCGAAAAATAGGGTTTGGAACGGCCCCAATTTAATGTATTGATTTTACTGATTATTTATTAATATTTAATAGATTTATATAAAAATGTAGAGAATTATAACCGAAAAATGTGTTTATTTGTAAATTATAAGAAATAAAAGATGGTTTTTAACTTTATTAACTTTACACGGAAAAAGTGTGTAAATGAGACTATATTTTCACTAAATAATCATCTAAACTATAAGATTACTTACCCGTTTTCCGATTACATTGGAATAAGTATTATTGTCACAAATAATCAGCGATCATTTATAATGTTTGTAATGTTTACGAAGAAGAACAAACTGACGCCATCATCGTTAATGTTGTCCATGAACTAACAATCTAGTGAGTGAACTCAACTTACGATAAAGCAGAAAAATGTAGGTAAGGCAGGAATTGCAGAAGAGAAATAGGTCGGTACTGCAGAAAATATTTAAGATAGTTCCATAAACAACCGATAGTTGTCCGATATTTTTATTGTTGTCAATTGTCAATTGTTGTTTAGGTAAGTAAATTTATTTTCAACAATTAATTTTTATTTACTAACCATTTATTGTCTAATTTTATAAATTCGCATCCTATTCTCACCCTTTTTGCCCTAAAAATATAAACAAAATATGATTTTTAATTTAAAGTTTACAAACTACTTGGATTTTGTAGGACCGGCAAAAAGTTTGGTTATGTTTCTATTTTATTCTAAAATCTTGTTTATTGATTGAAACGATTGAAAGCATTGAAAAACCATTATAAAAATATTATTTATCATTGACAACTTTCTTTTAATTCGTTTACCTTACAAAAATAATTCATTATTCGTTCATATAATATTTTCTCTCTTTAACAGGAAACGTAAATAAATTTTAAAAAGAATGAGTTCTTCAAAGATTCAAAAATTGGATAATGGCCAAACAAATAATCAGAAAGTAACAAATTCCGAGAAGAATAAACAAAAAAGAAAAGTAAAATCAACGAAATTAAACGAAGAATTGGAAAATGAAGTTGTCAATGATAATAATTTATCGCTTGAATCACAAATTTCATCATCGTCAAATGCAATTGCCGAGTCAATTTTACATCTTGAACGTGAACTCTCGGAAAAATTAAGTCAAATTAAATTCAAAGCACCCGTTGATTATATTTATAATCCAATTGAATACGCATACGATGTTCATGCTAATTACGTAAATTCCTATTGTCAAGGAAGAAAAAAAATTCTATACCTCGGAATTAATCCCGGACCATGGGGTATGTCTCAAAATGGTGTTCCTTTCGGTGAAATTTCAATGGTTAAAGATTGGTTGAAATTATCGGGAAAAATTGAAAAACCACCACGTGAACATCCGGAGAGAATAATCAGTGGTTTCAATTGCACTCGAAAAGAAGTCAGTGGCTTGAGATTTTGGGGATTTTTCCGTGAACTCTGCAAAACGACTGATATTTTTTTTCGTCATAGTTATGTTCATAATTATTGTCCTTTGGCATTTATGAATTCGAAAGCGAAGAATATTACGCCTGCCGATTTAAAGGCAGGTGTTTTAAATAAACTATTTTCATTTACAAAACACTGAAATAAAATTTATTTGATTCAAATAACCGATTAATGGACTATTATCAATTAAATATTTAATTGAATCAAATAATATTTATTGAAGTCAAGTAAATGGTTTTTTTTATTTATTTGCTTCAAATACTGATATTAATGGTTCAAATACCATTTAATTGACTCTAATAAATATTTGATTCAAGTATAAATATTTAATTGATAATTAATCGGTTATTTGACTCAAATACATTTTTTTCACTGAAATGAAATTGTTAAATTGTTAACTTTTATTTACATTTAGTAATTAATTTTCTGTTTGCAGGCTGATGAAAAGAAGGAACTCCTTTTAATCTGTGACGAAGTTCTGAAGAAGATTATCAAAGTGCTAAACGTTGAAATTGTCGTTGGAATTGGAAGATTCGCCGAGGAAAGAGTGAAGGATATTTTAAGGGACGAAGTTAATATAAACGTTATTTATATGCCACATCCTAGTCCAAGAGCAGTGAACAACGAGAATTGGCCCGAAAAGGCTAAAATGACACTGGAGAGGAACAAATTATTGGAATATTATTCACAGTAAATCACCGACTGTTTGGATTTTTAAAAAAAGGTTTTCTATTTATTTTTATTTTTATATTTCTATCTTAATTAGAAACTTAAAAAGTATATTTTTTTAAATAATGGAGTGGATGGATTTTGCATTAGAAAGGGCAAAAGAATCCTTTAAAGCAGGCGAAGTTCCTGTCGGTTGTCTTTTTATTTACGAAAACAAAATAATTGCAACTGGTAACAATACTGTTAATGAAACTCGCAATGCAACAAGACACGCCGAATTGAATTGTATTGACCAAGTTTTAAAATTCTCCGATGAAAAACACTTGGATTATAAATCTGTTTTTCAAAATATTGACGTTGTAGTTACAGTTGAACCATGCATAATGTGCGCTGCCGCTTTATACGAACTTAAAGTTCGAAGTATTATTTTTGGTTGTGCTAATGATAGATTTGGTGGTTGTGATAGTGTTTTTAATGTCGAAACGATTTACGGTTCAAAAATAAAAGTTGTTGGTAACGTTAAAGGCGACGAGGCTATGCAACTATTAAAAGACTTTTATAAAGGGGAAAATCCAAATGCACCTGAATCGAAGGTTAAGAAAAGTAAAAAAAACAGTGTTAGAGTAAAACATGTTTAATTAAACAATTTACAATTTTTCATATTAAATTAAAGAACTATAAAATTTTTATTTAATTGCTATTTAATAACTAAAGGAATACTCCTAATTTAATACTGTACCCTTTTTCGATATTAGAAAAAAGAATAAATCTTTTTGATGGAATTTTCTCTCTAGATGGCACAAATCTTTTTCCTGAGTCTATTTTTTTTTAGTTTCGTTTATTTTCAGTTTAGTTACACCAGGTGGGATCGATTTCACACTTTCCTTGATACCATCTTATTAGGAGTTGATTTTTCAGTGAGTAGTCTTTCAAAACCATGTTCTCCGTCTAATTAATCAATTTTTATTAAATTAACAGAATTCGAAAAATTGAGTCTAATGGAAGAAAAAAATTATCAGGAATACTTACAATTGGCGGTGGGAATATTCTCCTGTAATCCATTTTATTATGATGCTCCAAAAAGCTTTGAGACAAAACTCTTCTCCAATCGTCCGTGTAACATTTTCTGCAAATTTGACACTCAATTCGAAAACAATCGTTACAATTGTTACAGATTTCTGGCAGAACGACTAGATTTTTATCGGCAACTTCCATTTCGATTTCGGCTTTTTCTCTGCAATTTGAAAAAATTATATTTATTATATTTCTATAATATTTATTGAAAAAAATAATTTCAATATTTACTTTATTTGCAGTGTATCGCTCCTCGTTCTTCGAGCAACGCCAATCAGTGCAAAGAGATTGAACAAAACCTGTTCGTAGAGTAATTGATTTGGTGGGAAATGTGCTGAAGAAAGATTCGGCGACATATTCGCTTCCATAATGAAAACATTCAAATCTTCATCGAGAGTAAAATCGAATCGCATCAATTCGAAAAAATTTCTACCATCACCAAAACGTTTAGTTGCTTCACGAATCTTCATTTCCTTTTTCAACGCTATTTCTCTAATCGCATCAAAAGCACTGTCCCACATTTTCTGTGGATCCTTTCCCTTCGCCCTTAAATACGCATCAAACGAGTCCTTCATCGAAAATCCTAAATTTTTGTAATAATTCCTCAATGACGGCACATTCCAAATTGGTAAATAATCATCGCCAACGACATATTTATCAATAATCTTCGGATCGAATGGATAATATTCAATGGGACAAAATCGAAATAAAACATCACCTTTGTATCCGTAAATTCGAAGAGGATCAATTGATGTTATTACCGTGTAGATACCAATGTCAAATTTATAACCGTCGACAAGAAATGGTTTATCGATGAATTCCTGAACAAATGATCCCTCTGCCGTTAAATTTAGTTCGTCGATTTTTTTCATTTCTATTCCACGATGATCGTTGGATTTTTGAACGTAGGTTTTCTCCGGATTTTTCTCAATGTGAGCGAGAAGATCTTCACGATTGTCGGGCATTTTAAATGAAACGGGAATAAATTTTCCCTCGGTTGTTGAAAGATCGACTTTATTCGTGATATATCCACATCCTGGAAAATGATTAACTCTTTGATGTGGTTTTAAATTTGTCAAATTTGCCCTTAATGCACTAAATGGATAATCGTGCGCCCATAATAAATCCCAATTTGAAGTTTCTTGTTGCTGAAAACCCAGTCGATCCAAAACGAGGAAAACATGTTTCAAATATCCAATATCTGGAAAATGGTTTTAAAAATTATTTTTTAATTCAAAGAAGAGTATAATAGTAATTACTTACCACTATTGGGAAATTTTGTATGTATTCGAAATGTCGGTCGTTCTTCCTCGAGGAATATTTCCTGAACATGTGGTTCACAAAAATAATTATGATAATTGTGAACTAGAAAATACACTCCGGATAATATAATTGGTGCTAGGAAAACGTAAAGAATTGTTCGAAATAACTTGTTCGTTGTTGTGTTAATTATTTGTTCATTAGTAGAGGAACATTTCTGAAAAAATTTTTTCAAATTTACGAATTTAAGACAAACTTAACTTGTTTTGTTTAAAGAAAACTAAAATAACTTGAATAATTATTTACCCTTTTACTGGTAGATTTTGCTTGAATATTATTCTCCTTTGCCATATTTTTTAGAGACTATTTTTTAATTTTTTATACTGAAAAAAAGTGTCTGTCGTCTGATGGAGCGTCACCGAAAAAAGTACCGTTGCATCTTATCCCCGCCACTTTTCTCACGATCCACGTGGGATAACATTTACTTTCCGTCACATAAAAAACCGGTTTCTTCCCTTAAGAATTTTTTTATTCAATCCAAAGTTATTTTTTTAAAAATCCAGTTATTGTAAAACTATATCAAAAAAGGAAATGAAATTGAAAGAAATGAAAGAAAGAAAAGTATTTTTCTGTAATTATTTTTATTACTTATGTAAATTTACAGTTTTCGTAATAAAATATTTTCTTCGCATTGAATTACATATTATAATAACGTGGAGAAAAAAAGTTACACTAACTTAGAATTTATAGAAATTTTTTGTAACTGATGTAAAAATGTTTATAATTTTTTTTTTTTTCTCTTTCTAAAATCTTTTTTTCCTCATATAATCTTTTTGATTGAAATTAAGTAACGAAAAAATACTCTTATTTTGCTTTCAATTAATTTTTTATAGAAGACACAAAAAAACATCAGTCAAAGTATTCGTAAAGACAAAATATTAAATATTTTAGTGTCAAAAATATACTTAAATATTTATATATAAAAATGTAAAAACAAAAAAAACTTAGTTTTTCTTTCTCTTAAAAAATACTTGCGCATTATCTCACGCTTTTCTATTCACGAATAATAAATTGTACTCGGCGGTCGGTGAAAATGATAAAGTCTTTTTTAGAAAAACAGAGTAAATTTTGTTTACTCAAAATATCGAGATAAATCTTGGAAGAATAAGATTGAAATTCATATCGAAAAGAAATGTTCTATTTTAAACATTGATCGGACTAATAAAATCTAATAAGCTGGAAAAAAAAATTATTCACTCGAGTTTCACATTAATATTTAAAAATTTAAATATTCTACATTTCTAATCGCCAAGATTTAACAACTGTTATTGTTTTTCTTTATGAAAATAATATTATCACTGATTTACATTTTAATATTACGATTTATAATAATAGTTATTTCTCTTGAGGTGAAACGGAGAATTTGTACAGATCATAGCGATAATAAATTTATTCTCTATGTGTCGCTTTTCCATAATTTTATAGTTTTATCATTTTCTAAAGCCGCTGATGCAATAATATTATCTGTTGGATGACATGTTGTGCAGAGAACGACGTCTGAAATTTTAAAGAGTAGATAATTAGACAAATTTAATTATTCCTTATTTTATTATTATAATAAAATAGAATATAAATTCTTTTACAGGGTTGCTCGTATTTTAATAAAAATCCCTGACTTTTGCCTGATTTCCCTAATCTGTGACAACCCTGTTTTAACTATTGAGAAATTCTTTAAAAGCGTGTCAGTGCAATTATAATTATAACTAATGCAAATTACCTGTATGGCCTTGTAATTTTTGGACAATTTCTTTTGTCTGAAGATTCCAAATATATACCATATTATCTTCAGAACCGGAAACAATCCACTGAAAATTATAAATAGTTAATATTGCGAAAGAATTCGAATTCGAAAGAAAAAAAAAACAGTAAAGAAGTCTATTATTAAAAGGCTTCTCTACTTATATTCAAATATCACTTATAAAAAAGTAATTTCTCCATTGAATTGAGATTAAAATTTCCTTTTCCGATTTACAATAAATTATAAAAATTATATTCACCTTTCCTCCAGTGACGGAAAAATTGGCAAATATGCAATACTTTTCATTACGATGACCCGTGTAGGTTTTCAGACATTTTCCTTTACTGTAATCCCATAATTTTAAGGTATTGTCTAGAGTTGCTGCTAGAATGTACTTTCCATTAGGTGAAAATTTGACAAATGACACTGGGGGATTATCGTCATCTATTAAAGTTTTTAAACATTGTCCTGATGCTGTATCCCATATTCGACTGGAATGGAAAATTATCGAAATATTATCTTTTTATTAACTATTTTTTAATTTTCTTAAAGTATACACATACCATAAACCATCGTAACTGCTGGATACAATAAGGGAACCGTCTCTATTAAAATGCACCGCACTAACAGGATCTGAATGTGCCGGTAGGGTTTTTAAACATTTTCCAGTTCTCACGTCCCATATTCTGACGCTTTCGTCAAACTAAAATAATAAATTTTGTTTTATTTTCTTATTGTAATTAAAGTCAGGGTGGTCACAAGTTTCAGTTTATCAATTTCCCTACAAATTTACTGACATTAAAATTATTTTCCCTGACAACATTTTTTTACAGAAAAATATGAAAGTTTACGGAAAATGAGTAAAAAAATTTATGAAATTTAATAATTCACCCTGAAAGTGTTATAATTGTCTAGAGTACCAAATAAATAATCTTACCGAACCGGAAACGATTAAATTTGACTGTGGATTGAAATTACAACAGAAGACATAATTTGTGTGTCCTTTTAATGTCTTCAGGCATTTTCCCTAAAAAAAAAATACCATAGACTCAATTTTTATTTATTTAAATTTTGTTAGTTATTTAAAATATTTGTTTATGCTTATTTACTTACGGAACTCAATTCCCATATTCTCAGTGTTTTGTCATCAGACGCAGATACTAAAAGTCTACTATCGCTGGACCAGGCAACGTCAGATATTCCAAGTTTATGACCCGATATAGTCTTCTCAAATTTACCATCATAAGAACCCCAGATTTTGATTAATTTATCTGCCGCTATTGAAGAAGAATTGATTAGAAAAATAAACAAAAATTCAAGGCTTATTCTAATTAGTAGCTTTCTAACTTACACGAACTTGCTAGCCATTCACCATTCGGACTAAACTTAACAGAAGATACAGCCTTCATATGGCCAGTCATTGTGTATTTTAGTGTATAATTTGGTTTCTGAAATTAATATCAATGAAGCATTAGACAAAAAGTCGAAAACGGAAAGAAAACATTTTGTTTACAAAACGTATTCTTTCTGTAGTCTTTAAATAACTAACTTCTGAACAAGCGTTTAAGAAATCAAAAAGAATAAAAATTATTTTAATATAAAAATCAAAGAGAGTAGGGACACTTTCTTTAATTAATAACTTTTTAATTGCCTTTGTTCTGAATTTTAGAAAACTTACAACTGTAGAACTGCCTTTTGTTCCACTGCTTGGTGCACTAGATGAATTATTAATAGACGTTTGATGTCCGGGAGTTGGTCCTAACGGCACCATTTTTTATCTTTTTATATATTTTAACGAAAAACCTAATAAAATGTTTAAATCCTCGGAGATCTTGTTGCACACCACACAATTTTCGTTATAATTTTAGGTTATGTTTGGAACCGCAATTGTTTGCCGGAGCGTCCTTTGGCGAAATGTCATAAATTGTTGTACCTATAGATGAGACAATTGTTTAGTTTCGTGTTCATACACCAGGGCGGAGTTGTATTCTTTTTCTCATCACGTGTTTATGTGTTTTTTATCCAATGAGACCGAATGGATTAAATGGATTACAAGTGCGCGGGATTTTTAAGGATTTCGATTCTCCGAATTTTTTATCATTTTTCTCTAGGCGATTTTTAATTAAAATGTGGAAATTAAAATTTAAATAAATTTAGAGTTATTCATGTGTGAAAATAAATTGTGTACCATAAATCTCAACCACAAGTTGCACAAACCTTTTGTCACAGCCAGGCTATTATTTATTATTTTTCTCCTTTTTTCTTCAATTATTTTATCGATTTTATCAATTGTTGATAATTATTTTCTTTTGTTTTTTATTCAATTGTATTTGATCCATATGTTTTCGAATAATATGAATATTTTCCTTTTGTCTTAAAGTCTGACAAATTTTTTCGTCTCACAAGATTTTATTTTTTGCACTTTATCTCGTTATACTTACAAAACTATTTATTCATTCTTTTTGTTAATTTTCAGAGGAATTCACTACATTCTGTCTGACGAAGCAGTAAAGTGCAGGGTGTCTGCATTTTTTTTCCTCAAAACGTCAACACGTCAAAAAAATCGAATTTCTAAAACACGGACATTCTAGAGCAGCGACTCTTCAAAACACTGGATTTCCATTTGCAATTTGCCCGGTCGTATGAAATCTCCCAAAAATCAAATCGATCGAATATCCATTACATCGAATTTCAAAACATCGAATGCTCAATACATCGAATTTTCAAAACATCGAATGCTCAATATATCGAATTTTCAAAACGTCGATTGCTCAACACATCGAATTTTCAAAACTTCGAATGTCCATTAGATCGAATTTTTAAAACATCGAATGTTAAATTGATCGAATTTTTAAAACATCGAATGTTAAATTGATCGAATTTTCAAAACTTCGAATGCACATTACATCGAATTTTTAAAACGTCGAATGCTCATTTCATCGAATTTTCAAATCATCGAATGTTCATTTGATCGAATTTTCAAATCTTCGAATGTTCATTTGATCGAATTTTCAAAACGTCGAATGCTCATTTCATCGAATTTTCAAAACTTCGAATGTTCATTAGATCGAATTTTTAAAACTTCGAATGTTAAATTGATCGAATTTTCAAAACTTCGAATGCTCATTTCATCGAATTTTCAAAACATCGAATGCTCATTACATCGAATTTTTAAATCATCGAATGTTAATTTGATCGAATTTTCAAAACGTCGAATGCTCAGTTCATCGAATTTTTAAAACATCGAATGCTCATTTCATCGAATTTTCAAAACTTCGAATGTTGATTTGATCGAATTTTCAAAACTTCGAATGCTTATTACATCGAATTTTCAAAACTCCGAATGCTTATTACATCGAATATTCAAAACGTCGAATCCTCATTAGATCGAATTTTCAAAACTTCGAATGCTTATTTCATCGAATTTTCAAAACGTCGAATGCTCATTTCATCGAATTTTTAAATCATCGAATGTTAATTTGATCGAATTTTTAAAACGTCGAATGTTAATTTGATCGAATTTTCAAAACGTCGAATGCTCATTTCATCGAATTTTCAAAACTTCGAATGTTGATTTGATCGAATTTTCAAAACTTCGAATGCTTATTACATCGAATTTTCAAAACATCGAATGCTCATTTCATCGAATTTTCAAAACGTCGAATGCTCATTAGATCGAATTTTCAAAACTTCGAATGCTTATTTCATCGAATTTTCAAAACGTCGAATGCTCATTTCATCGAATTTCCAGAACTTCGAATGCTCATTTCATCGAATTTCCAAAACTTCGAATGCTTATTTCATCGAATTTTTAAAACATCGAATGTTAATTAGATCGAATTTTTAAAAAGTAGAATGTTCATGTCATCGAATTTTCAAAACTTCGAATGCTCATTTCATCGAATTTCCAAAACTTCGAATGCTCATTACATCGAATTTTCAAAACTTCGAATTCTCATTAGATCGAATTTTCAAAACTTCGAATGCTCATTTTATCGATTTTTCAAAACATCGAATGCTCATTACATCGAATTTTCAAAACTTCGAATGCTCATTAGATCGAATTTTCAAAACATCGAATGCGTATTTCGTCGAATATTCAAAACGTCGAATGTTAATTTGATCGAATTTTTAAAACTTCGAATGTTAATTTGATCGAATTTTTAAAACGTCGAAAGCTCATTTCATCGAATTTTCAAATCTTCGAATGTTCATTTGATCGAATTTTCAAATCTTCGAATGTTCATTTGATCGAATTTTCAAAACGTCGAATGCTCATTAGATCGAATTTTCAAAACTTCGAATGCTCATTTCATCGAATTTTCAAATCTTCGAATGTTCATTTGTTCGAATTTTCAAAACTTCGAATGCTCATTACATCGAATTTTCAAAACTTCGAATGTTAATTTGATAGAATTTTTAAAACTTCGAATGTTAATTTGATCGAATTTTTAAAACTTCGAATGTTCATTTTATCGAAGAGAATTTAACATCTGAGTTTACTATCTATGTAATATGTTCTTCCTAGGGAATTTTGAAAGTGCGCGAGATTTGAAATCGTTATGGTAAGTGACAATTTTTTTTATTGAGTAAAATTTTTTTGTTTGTTTACTAATTACTTGTCAGTAAATGTTTATTTTTTTGTTATATAAGTATCACTATTATTATGATTATTTTAATTTATATTATAGTTTTTATTATAAGGTAATTAAATTAAATTGTGGTTATCTATTACAATCATAGATGGCTCTAGTAATATGAATATGTGTTTTACAAATTTTTATAAATATTAATTTATTTATAGTATAATTATTAATATTGTTATTCTTACTATTGTGTAATTGTGAATTTATTATGTATATTTAATGTAATATTGATTTATTTAGAAGTCAGTAAGATGATCGTTAAAAAAAAGTAGTGAATATTTCTTATTTGTCTAAATATTTCGCTTCTAAATGAAGAGTTCAAGTTTCTTTTATCTATTTATAATGAATGATTGAATGAATGAATGAATGAATTAATTAATGTGCATAAATTAAAATTATTTTCAAATTAAATAAAATATTGTGTATTGTTATTATTTTGTTATTTCTTTATATAGTGAATATTAAATTGCATTACTCTCTACTTTAAATAAGAAATAGATTCTATATGTAAGTAATACTTAAATTTTTATTGTAAATAAATAACAAGATTCCTACAGAAATCCGAAATTAAAATTCCATACCTTTTCCATGATTTATAGGTCAAACTTTTACGACATTCCAGTGCAATTTTAAATATAATTTCATTACTTTTGGGCTCTTCGAAAATAGTTTACTTATTGAATAGCCTCGACTCTTTGATAAAAAATTTAAAATTATCTAATATTATCAAAAATTCAAATATCCGAATTGCTTAAAATTCAACATTTTTTCCTCTTTTTTTATGGGATTTAGCTTCATTATTTTTGGGCTCTTCGAAAACAGTTTACTTATTAAATAGTCTTGACTTATTATTATTATTATTATTATTATTATTATTATTATTATTATTATTATTATTATAAATTCGAAATAAAGTCACATTTTATATTAAACAAAATTATATTTTTATTTATAATTGTAGAACTACATACATTTTATTTTATAATCGTAAATAAATCTTTGAAACATTAAAAGTTGTTATACTTTTTTTATAAAATTTACATTACTATAAAAGTTTAGTGTGAGTGACTGAAGAAAACGGTGATTTTTAGGAATTTTTTTCAGGGAAATTATTGCATCTAATTTTTTATACAGTTTTGTACATGTATACATATTGTATAAATAGTCAACATTTTGTAATTTTTTCAAAGAAAAATATTCTTTTTTAATTAAGAGTTATTCGCTATATAAAAAAAAATCCAGTTTTCCCACTGCGCTGCAGTGATTGCGGCCTTCTCAGTAACCTAAATAAAAAAAACCAAAAAGATTATTAAACTAGAAGATATTTGCCGTACAATGACTCTCGGATGTCAAAAAATATTGAATTGCAACAAAATGGTGGAGTTTTGAAAAAGCTTTTCATTTTCGCCAAAAAAGTCCGATGGTTTTTGGCATTCCAAAATTTTATTTTTCATCCAATCAAAAAAGTTGGAGCCTCATTGTACGGCAAATATCTTCTAGTTTAATAATCTTTTTGGTTTTTTTTATTTAGGTTACTGAGAAGGCCGCAATCACTGCAGCGCAGTGGGAAAACTGGATTTTTTTTTATATAGCGAATAACTCTTAATTAAAAAAGAATATTTTTCTTTGAAAAAATTACAAAATGTTGACTATTTATACAATATGTATACATGTACAAAACTGTATAAAAAATTAGATGCAATAATTTCCCTGAAAAAAATTCCTAAAAATCACCGTTTTCTTCAGTCACTCACACTAAACTTTTATAGTAATGTAAATTTTATAAAAAAAGTATAACAACTTTTAATGTTTCAAAGATTTATTTACGATTATAAAATAAAATGTATGTAGTTCTACAATTATAAATAAAAATATAATTTTGTTTAATATAAAATGTGACTTTATTTCGAATTTATAATAATAATAATAATAATAATAATAATAATAATAATAAGTCAAGACTATTTAATAAGTAAACTGTTTTCGAAGAGCCCAAAAATAATGAAGCTAAATCCCATAAAAAAAGAGGAAAAAATGTTGAATTTTAAGCAATTCGGATATTTGAATTTTTGATAATATTAGATAATTTTAAATTTTTTATCAAAGAGTCGAGGCTATTCAATAAGTAAACTATTTTCGAAGAGCCCAAAAGTAATGAAATTATATTTAAAATTGCACTGGAATGTCGTAAAAGTTTGACCTATAAATCATGGAAAAGGTATGGAATTTTAATTTCGGATTTCTGTAGGAATCTTGTTATTTATTTACAATAAAAATTTAAGTATTACTTACATATAGAATCTATTTCTTATTTAAAGTAGAGAGTAATGCAATTTAATATTCACTATATAAAGAAATAACAAAATAATAACAATACACAATATTTTATTTAATTTGAAAATAATTTTAATTTATGCACATTAATTAATTCATTCATTCATTCATTCAATCATTCATTATAAATAGATAAAAGAAACTTGAACTCTTCATTTAGAAGCGAAATATTTAGACAAATAAGAAATATTCACTACTTTTTTTTAACGATCATCTTACTGACTTCTAAATAAATCAATATTACATTAAATATACATAATAAATTCACAATTACACAATAGTAAGAATAACAATATTAATAATTATACTATAAATAAATTAATATTTATAAAAATTTGTAAAACACATATTCATATTACTAGAGCCATCTATGATTGTAATAGATAACCACAATTTAATTTAATTACCTTATAATAAAAACTATAATATAAATTAAAATAATCATAATAATAGTGATACTTATATAACAAAAAAATAAACATTTACTGACAAGTAATTAGTAAACAAACAAAAAAATTTTACTCAATAAAAAAAATTGTCACTTACCATAACGATTTCAAATCTCGCGCACTTTCAAAATTCCCTAGGAAGAACATATTACATAGATAGTAAACTCAGATGTTAAATTCTCTTCGATAAAATGAACATTCGAAGTTTTAAAAATTCGATCAAATTAACATTCGAAGTTTTAAAAATTCTATCAAATTAACATTCGAAGTTTTGAAAATTCGATGTAATGAGCATTCGAAGTTTTGAAAATTCGAACAAATGAACATTCGAAGATTTGAAAATTCGATGAAATGAGCATTCGAAGTTTTGAAAATTCGATCTAATGAGCATTCGACGTTTTGAAAATTCGATCAAATGAACATTCGAAGATTTGAAAATTCGATCAAATGAACATTCGAAGATTTGAAAATTCGATGAAATGAGCTTTCGACGTTTTAAAAATTCGATCAAATTAACATTCGAAGTTTTAAAAATTCGATCAAATTAACATTCGACGTTTTGAATATTCGACGAAATACGCATTCGATGTTTTGAAAATTCGATCTAATGAGCATTCGAAGTTTTGAAAATTCGATGTAATGAGCATTCGATGTTTTGAAAAATCGATAAAATGAGCATTCGAAGTTTTGAAAATTCGATCTAATGAGAATTCGAAGTTTTGAAAATTCGATGTAATGAGCATTCGAAGTTTTGGAAATTCGATGAAATGAGCATTCGAAGTTTTGAAAATTCGATGACATGAACATTCTACTTTTTAAAAATTCGATCTAATTAACATTCGATGTTTTAAAAATTCGATGAAATAAGCATTCGAAGTTTTGGAAATTCGATGAAATGAGCATTCGAAGTTCTGGAAATTCGATGAAATGAGCATTCGACGTTTTGAAAATTCGATGAAATAAGCATTCGAAGTTTTGAAAATTCGATCTAATGAGCATTCGACGTTTTGAAAATTCGATGAAATGAGCATTCGATGTTTTGAAAATTCGATGTAATAAGCATTCGAAGTTTTGAAAATTCGATCAAATCAACATTCGAAGTTTTGAAAATTCGATGAAATGAGCATTCGACGTTTTGAAAATTCGATCAAATTAACATTCGACGTTTTAAAAATTCGATCAAATTAACATTCGATGATTTAAAAATTCGATGAAATGAGCATTCGACGTTTTGAAAATTCGATGAAATAAGCATTCGAAGTTTTGAAAATTCGATCTAATGAGGATTCGACGTTTTGAAAATTCGATGTAATAAGCATTCGGAGTTTTGAAAATTCGATGTAATAAGCATTCGAAGTTTTGAAAATTCGATCAAATCAACATTCGAAGTTTTGAAAATTCGATGAAATGAGCATTCGATGTTTTAAAAATTCGATGAACTGAGCATTCGACGTTTTGAAAATTCGATCAAATTAACATTCGATGATTTAAAAATTCGATGTAATGAGCATTCGATGTTTTGAAAATTCGATGAAATGAGCATTCGAAGTTTTGAAAATTCGATCAATTTAACATTCGAAGTTTTAAAAATTCGATCTAATGAACATTCGAAGTTTTGAAAATTCGATGAAATGAGCATTCGACGTTTTGAAAATTCGATCAAATGAACATTCGAAGATTTGAAAATTCGATCAAATGAACATTCGATGATTTGAAAATTCGATGAAATGAGCATTCGACGTTTTAAAAATTCGATGTAATGTGCATTCGAAGTTTTGAAAATTCGATCAATTTAACATTCGATGTTTTAAAAATTCGATCAATTTAACATTCGATGTTTTAAAAATTCGATCTAATGAACATTCGAAGTTTTGAAAATTCGATGTGTTGAGCAATCGACGTTTTGAAAATTCGATATATTGAGCATTCGATGTTTTGAAAATTCGATGTATTGAGCATTCGATGTTTTGAAATTCGATGTAATGGATATTCGATCGATTTGATTTTTGGGAGATTTCATACGACCGCAATTTGCCTACTGTTGATAATTATTTTCCAGAAACTAACATTTGATGTTGATCCAAGAAAGAAACAGTTTCAAAAAAATGGTAATGATAAAAGAATTTGTTAAATTAATAATATTATTTATAAATATAAATGTTCTATTACTTTTTTCTGAAAAGGAATTTTTTAAATTTCCAGGTGTGAGAAATTATTGACAGTGACATCTATTTTAGTTTCGAGAAATAAAAATTATTCGTTAAAAAATGTGATGATTTGTTTGTTAACGGAAATAAATTTTGCACAGTTTCTTTTAATTATCGTCAATAAATAATAATACTGACAAGTTAAATTATAATTGTCAACAAAGAAGAATATGTTGAATTGCCAAAAACTTGAATGTTTGTTTGTGTCGCTATGGCAACGGACAAAGTGTTCTGTCAAAACAACACGTGATTGTGGCTGAATTGTCAGAATCAGTCAGAATCCCCTGAAGAAAAATGAATAATTTTATACAAAATATACAAATAAAGGATGGAGAGTATACGAAAATTATTTACAACATGGTACGTACGAGGTTTTTCATAAATGGGATAATTTTTTATAATAAATTTCAAGTTTGTCTCACTTTCTTTATATTTTTAATTTATTTTTTAATTTTTAAATTTAAATTGTTAGCATTTTCAACCTAAAATATTAAAAAAAAATAATTTTATGGAAGATTTAAATCATTTTCTTGATATAGTTAAAAATGTAGTCGAAGTCTGCTATTAAGTTTAAATTGTTTACTGTAAATATTACTTTTAAAATGATTACTTCGAATTAATTGTCTTTGAATTAATTAATCGCTCTTTTTGTCTTATTGATAAATAATTCGTTGTTAATTAATTTCAGATAAAGGAGCAACGTTATAGTGAAACAATACACGTTTTGACAAATTTACTCGAGTCCTATCCTGAAGTGAGTAAATTTTATTTACCTTTTGATATTGAATAAAAAATTCGAAAATGAATTTTCTTTTTTTCAGTCACGACCGTGTCTTTCACTTCTCGGCTACTGTTACTTTTACACTCAGGATTTTTTAACAGCAGCCAGCTGCTATGAGAAATTGGTACAATTTTGTCCAGAGGAAGCTTTGTACAAACTTTATTACGCTCAATCGTTACATCAAGCTTGTATGTATCCAGAGGCATGGACAGTTTGCGCTGGTCTCGGGAATAATAGTAATTTAGAAAATAAAGTCAAAAAACTTCAAGCCGCGATAAAATATGGACAGGAAGATACGGTTGCTGCCAAGAATCTCGTCGATCAATGTCCTACCGATGATATAGACACGGAAATTAATTTGGGATGTTTACTCTACAAGGTAAATAATTATAAGGGTTGACACAAAAACTTAATTTTGTTTTTCCCTGTCTTTTCTCTAATCATTTCAATTCATTTATTATTTTCTAGAATTTTTAACTAATTCTTTTGGAAAATTTTATTTTCAAATAATTGCAAAATGTTAATTGTGAATAATTCTAATTTGATAATTTTAGGAAGAAAAATACGAACAGGCGTTAAAAAAATTTTCCTCCGCTCTTCAAATTGTTGGATTTAAACCTCATTTGTCGTACAATGTTGCCTTGTGTTTTTTTAAATTAAAAGAATACGCAGCTTCACTTAAACATATAGGTAAGTTGCGTTTTTCCCCTCCAGTGTTAATTTTAACTTTAAAAGATTAATTTTGAAGAAAAATCTACCTTCTTTTAAAAGCGGACATCATCGAGCAGGGAATACGGGAACATCCTGAACTTAGTGTTGGTATGACGACTGAAGGAATTGAAGTTCGTAGCGTGGGGAATACTTTAACACTACACGAAACAGCCCTAACCGAGGCCTTCAATCTAAAAGCCGCTATTGAATTTCAATTAAAGAATTGTAACGTATTTAGTGTATTTTTATTATTTTTAAAAATTATTTTTATTATTTTCTCCAATAAAATGTGAAATCAATTCTTGAGGGACAAAAATACAAACAATTTGAGATGGATTTCAGATGAAGCAGCAAAGGAAGCATTGACGGACATGCCACCGAGATCGGAGGAGGAATTGGACGCTGTAACATTACACAATCAGGCTCTAATTAATATGGACACAAAACCAGGCGAAGGTTTTGAGAAACTTCAATTTTTATTGCAACAAAATCCATTTCCTCCGGAGACTTTTGCAAATCTATTGTTGCTTTACTGTAAATATCAGTTCTATGATTTGGCCGCTGATGTTCTAGCCGAAAATGTTCATTTGACTTACAAATATTTGACGTCCGTAAGTTTTTTTTTTATTTAAAGTATTGGATTTAAATAAATTCTTCCTTTATAATTATCTATATTAATAATCGTTATATTCTAGTAATCTGTTCGCAGTTTCAAGTTAGTAACATTTGCTAGTTTAATTTAAATTTAAACATTTATTGTATCAAAAGTTGTGTACATAATAATCGAGTAGAATTCAGTCGGAATATTTAGATTTAGATCGTTTACATTTTTTCGAATGTCTCTCCGATGTTTCGCCGGAACTTGATTTTCTCTTCTTTGGCTTAAAATTCCCACTGTCTGAATCACTTGAACTTGAACTTGTTACACGTTTTTTCTTTCGTTTATGATCCTTTGAATGTTTCTTCTTCTTTTTCTTATTACTATCACTATCTGAATCTGTAGAATATTTGTGTGACGATGACTTCTTCTTTTTTTTCTTCGTCTTCTTTGCTTTATGAACTTTTTCCGATGGGGTTTTAATTTCAGGTAATGCTGTCACCACCTCGTCTTGTATTTCCGGTATTAATTCGTATTTTTTACCATCGGGTGACATAAAACAGTCTTTAGCGAAATGTCCAATTGTTCCACATTTCGAGCATGTTGTGTTTAAAACAGCCTCTAGTTGAATTGCTTTTCTCTCTCTTGGTACAATTGTTTTTTTTCTTTGCTCCTCCATTTGTTGTTTAACGCCATTTGGATCGAGGTCCTTGCCATTTCCTTGATTCACATGTTTCATTGATAATCCAATTTTTCCATTTTCTCCGAGTGTTATTATTTTACACCAGACGCGCTCGCCTTTTTGTAAAATATCTCCGACATCGTCGACGTGAGAGGTGCTTATCTATATTGAATAATTGTTAGTTAGATTATTTGTTGTTGGCGGAAATTAAAAATTTGTTTATTAAAGAATTTGGGAACCTAGGGAACAAACCTGAGTTCGATGAATTAGTCCTTGTTGTGCGCAACCTGGTATGCGAATAAATGCTCCATAATTTTGTACCGAAGCGACTTCTCCGAGGAATATTTGATTCAGCTCACAAGTAGACATTTTGATTGTTGGTTGTATAGAAATTTCTTTGTATAATTAAGTGGGATAATTACATTTTATGTTTTTTTGTCAGAGAAATGATATCATGATCAGAATTCTCTAGTTTTAGGTTAGAACTGTCAAAACATTAAATTGGAGTCGCAGGGACGCCAATATTAAAGGCACTCCTCTTGGGAAAATTCGATACATAATTATTTTTTCTTTTCTTTCTTTACTAATTTTTTACTAATTTAATTACTTTACTAATTCGACTAATTCTTTACTAAATTATTTAATTAATAAGTAAATTAATTCTTTACTAAATTAGTAAATTAATAAGTAAATTAATTCTTTACTAAATTAATAAATTAATTAATTTTTTACTGAATTAATAAATTAATATAAGTAAATTAATTCTTCACTAATTTCTAAAATGTTTTCAGTATTTATACGACTTTTTGGACGCACTGATAACGCAGCAAACATCTCCTGAGGAAGCGTATCGAAAATTCGACGACCTGGCCAATAAGCATACGGAAGTTTTGAGAAAATCTACGAAGCAAGTACAGGAGGCAAGATTAAATCACGATGACAATGCTGTCAAGAAGGCTGTCAATGATTACGAAGAGGCTCTTGAGCGTTACATACCGGTTTTAATGGCCCAGGCGAAAATTTACTGGGAATTGGGAAATTACATTCAGGTTGAGAAAATCTTTCGAAAAAGCGTTGAATTCTGTAATGAACACGATATTTGGAAATTGAACGTTGCTCACACATTGTTTATGCAGGAGAATAAATTTAAAGAAGCAACTGGATTTTATGAACCTATTGTTAAAAAAAAATACGATAATGTAAGTATTCAGGAACATTTCCAAAACGTTTTGTAATTGTAATTGAAAATTGTACTTATAATAAATTGTAATTGTAATTCTAATTGTAAATTGTAAATTGTAAATTTTTCTTTACAGATCCTAGATGTCAGTGCAATTGTCCTTGCAAATTTGTGCGTGAGTTACATTATGACAACACAAAACACAGAAGCGGAGGAATTGATGAAAAAAATTGAAAAAGAAGAAGAAACGATAGCATTTGAAGAGCAGGATAAGAAACTCTTTCACTTGTGTATTGTCAATTTGGTAATTGGCACTTTGTACTGTTCGAAGGGAAATTATGAATTTGGAGTGTCACGAGTGATGAAGAGTCTCGAACCATACAGTAAAAAATTGGGCACCGATACGTGGTTTTATGCCAAAAGATGTTTTCTCTCTCTTTTGGAGCAATTAGCAAAGCAACTCGTTGTACTCAAAGATTCCACGCTACAAGAATGTATACAATTTCTCGAACATTGTGAAGGTAATTTTATTTTAATTTTTATCGCAGTAAATGTTGTACTTTCCCAATGCAAATTAATTTCTATCAGCAAATTTTGTACTTTCCAAATGCAATTTAATTTCTATCTGCAAATTTTGTACTTTCCAAATGCAATTTAATTTCTATCAGTAAATTTTGTATTTTCCCAATGCAATTTAATTTCTATCAGTAAAATTAAAAGTTTAAATTTCTATTTTCAGTTTATGGAAAAGACGTGCAGAGTGTTGTCGAACAACCTTTTGATATTCAGGATATTAATACAGTTCCCCAGGGGAAAAATACAGTCACCTACGAAGCCAGATATTTAAAAGCATTATTTTTAAAATTACAAATGTCTTAATTTATTATTATTGAATTGTTATTTTTCAATTCGCAGAATATATTAACGTTAATTTTAAATTTGTTTGGGTATTTTAATCTCTTAGATTCTTAATTAAAAATAAATTATTTAAGAATTTAATTACGAAGGGAATTTAAGTTTTTCAGATTTTTCTTTTTATTTTCCAATTCGAAGAATATAATAATAATTTTAAATTTGTTTGACTATTTTAATCTCTTAGATCCTTAATTAAAAATAAATTATTTAATAATTTAAGTCCTGGCAATTGAAGAATTTAAGATTTTTGTTTTTTTAAAGAAGGGCGCTTGATTCTTTCGGTACGTTACTGATTGTTTTTGTTGGATTATTTAATAGTGAGAAAAATGGTGGTTGACATGGAATTGGAAGGAGCAAAAGAAGCTGTTTTACAGCTAATGAAGGAGAAGGAAAAAATTGAAAATGATTTAAAAGAAGCCAGTGCAATCTTGGAATGTGTGAGTATTTAATTTCCTGTGAAAAAGTATATAAAACTCTTGTTAAATTCCAAGAATTATGCGAATGAAAATTTTACGATGAGTTGTCAATTTTTTTGTATTAGTATATATAAATAATCACTTTTTTGTTATTTTTCCGAAATTCTAGAATCGTGTGGGAATGAGCGATGAATTAGTCGATTTGGATGGATTTCCCAGAGGTGATATTGATGTTTATCAGGTCAGACACGCTCGCCATAAAATTATCTGTGAGTAAACATAACCTCTTTCCTATAAACTTTGTCCCCTCTCTTCTAATCTACATCATTAATTTCGATAATTAACTATTAACTATAATTAATTATTAATTAACTATAGTTATTTGAATGTTCTTTCATTCATTCACTTTTTCTGTCCCTCACACTCTTTTGAAAATAATTGAATTTGTGCAATTATATTTATCTCTTATTTACTGGAATAATTATTTATCCACCAGGTCTTCAGAATGATCACAAGAATATTATGAAGAAAATTGAAGACGGTTTACACAAGGTTCATGGTTTAACGGGAAAAAGTCCCCAGAATTCGCCAGTGCCGACTTCAAGTGCTATCCAGGAAAATGTTTATTTTGAACCATTCTTAAGAGTGAATTTGGTCACTCCCGGATCACCGGCTGAATTAGCAGTATTTATAATTTTCAATACGAATTATACTATTTTCGTAACTATTCAAAGAACAGATTTAATTAAATGTTAATTACATAAATTTAATTTTCAGGGAATTCAGGTCGAAGATCTTATAATGGAATTTGGGTCCATTAATATTAAAAACTTCAAATCATTAAAAGATGTTGGATCTCTCGTCGAAAGCAGTATAAATAAGAATGTCATTGTTCGAGTTAAACGAAACGCAAATACGATCGTTTTGTCTTTAACTCCACGACCTTGGAGTGGAAAAGGTCTTCTTGGTTGTAATGTGATCCCATTGGAAACTGTCGAAAGATAAATCTTCATAGTATTGTATTCCACTATTTTCATTATTTTATTTAAAATAATTTCAAATTTATCTTCTAAAAGTAAAAAGCAGTTAATACAATTCATACAATTGATTCAATTTATATAATTACAGTCGATTACTTCTAGTTTTAAATTTATAAAATCTATGTAAAAAAAACCCTTGGCCATTTAATTAATAAAATATATTAAATTTACAGCACATATTTTTCTTTTTTCGAAATTGAAAACCATAATTTTCGTTTTCAAAAAACATGCGGGAAAGAGAATCCAATTTATCCAATCGGGAGTAATCAATATGTTCCGCATGCGCAAACATTAGATCTCTGGAAACACTTGTTATTTTACGAGAGAGGAACAAATAGAAATAAAACAAAAATAATCTCTTATCTTGAAAGTCGAGTGAAACTATAAATGCAAAAGAAAGTGGAATTTATTAAGTGTTTGTAAATTGTGCCATAGAAGATATCACAATAGAATTGCTCTCGTATATAAATAAACAAAATAGTGATTTTTAAATGCACATAACCTCATCTATACTTTTCTTGGTCAAAATTCTGAACAATATATATTTTTATTAGTCATTACAACCAATTTACGCATACTTTTGTGCACTTTGCAATTACCTATTATTATTAAAATGATATTGTAGTGCGTCAGTTTAATAATTTGTATAGAACAATAAAATCTACACATACATATGTAGATCTGTCATATTGACACTTGTGTGAGAGTTTATTATTATTCTTTTTTGTAATAATGATATAATTTCAATTGAATGGAAATAAATTCTTATTAAGAATTCAGGAAGATGAAATAAAAGCCATGAACTTTTGTTCCTGCAAAGTTCAAACAATTTAATTGTCATTAAATATAAATGATATAAATTACAATGGCTTCAGAGGATGACGTTTGTTGGTATCATGAAAATCTGTCTCGTGAGGATGCTGAAACATTACTCCAAGAGGGTGAATAATGTTTTTACGAACTTTCTTTTTTTTATTTGTTCAAATATATTTATAAATTATCTATTATTTATTTATTCAAGTACAAATGGTGTATATATAATCAAATTGTCTATTGCAGTAAACTTTCTTTTTTTCGTACTTGAAAAAAACGTTTTTTATTACCCTAAGTAATGAAAATATTTTTATAGCCTGAAAGACAAAGAAAATAGTAGCAATAACAAAGATGTTTAGTTCATTTAATAATTTTTATATTATCAGAGTTAATTTATTTTAAATAACTTAGTTCTTTTCATTTTTGTAATGATAATTATTTTGTTTTGTAGATGAGCGGGGAAATGGTACATTCCTAGTTCGGGAGAGCAGCTCATCGTCAGGAGATTATGTTTTGTCGGTACTTCATAAAGGACAAGTGATTCATTATCAGATTCGAAAACATGGAGAAGATGCATTTTTTTCAATAGGTAAGAATTCAATTTAAAAAAAAATTAGAGGACAATTTTGTGTATATGGTATAATTTTATATATATATTTTTTTTTTGCTTGAATCACTAGGAGATGAAACTACAATTCATGGATTGGATACGTTAATAGAGTACTACCAGGAAGATAATCATGAACTAGAGATTAAATTAAAGGCACCAATAAAAGGTGTCCCTCCACCTCACGACGTCAGGAGACACGGTCGAACAAATTTATTGCACAGAGCTACAATTCAAGTATGACTAATATTTTGGCATTTTCTCGTTACCCTTCAATTATCTTGATAAATAACAAAATTCCTCCTAGAAATTCAATTATTTTCAGGAAAGTTAATAAAATTCTTTGCAAAATTCAATTATGTATTTTTAAAAATTTTAATAAAATTCTATGCAAGAATTCAATTATTTTCATTAATAATATAATTCTTCACGGGAATTTATTTATTGAATTAAAAATATTTTACTATTTTCTCTCTTTTTTTTTAATTCGATTTTTTTTAGAAATAATTGAATTTTGAAAAGATTTCAAATTTAAATATTTGAAAATTTGAATTTTTCATACTTTGAATTAAGAATTTAGTAGAATTAATTCTTTTGAAGAAGTTTTATTGAATTTTTAAAAAAATTATTTTGAAGTTTTCACTTTTTTGAAATTTATTAAAAATAATTGATTTAAAGAAGAATTTTAGTTAATTCAAAAAGTTTTGAATTTGAAATTTTTGAAAATCTTAAATCCTATGGAAAAATAATAATTATTAAATATTTATTGAAAAAAGAAGTTCTTGGTGTTTTCGAATATTTTTATAGTTAAAGAAATTCATAAAGAGTCCAATAGAACATTTTTTTTTATCTAATTATTTTTATAGTTAATCTTGAATTAATTCTTGAATAATCTTGGCAGACAATTATTCGTCGGTCGAAAATTAATTTTCTTTACTTCTAATTAATTTTTCAATATCATTTCTATTGACAGCAAAATTATACGATTGTCTCGGAATTATTGAAATGTGGATACAGAAGTTTGGAAGCGAAGAATCAATTAGGGCAGACAGCCGTCCATCTGGCAGCTAAGGACGGTGCTGATGAAATTCTCAAAAAACTTATTCAAAACAAAGCGAGTGTGAATTGTCGAGATTCCGCTGGCTACACGCCTCTTCATGTGAGTTTTTTTTCAAAAATTTTACTATTTTCTCTCTTTTTTTTTTGAAAAAATATTCGGGAATTGTTTCATAGAATGATTTTTTTTCTAAGCAGCTTATTAGTGTGAAGAAAAGGTAGGATATAAATTTTAAGGTTTAGTCACTATTTAGTAAACTAAATCTATTTGTTTAGTAAATAGTAAATATTTTAGTAAATTTTTTTCAAAATATTAAATATAATTTCTGAAATTGAAAATAATTTCAGTACGCCTGTCAAAGTAGTCTTCCAAATACGGTACGAATTCTTATTTTGGGAGGAGCTAATGTTCAGGCGCGTCACACTGAAACAGGTAGAGGAAAATATCACCTTTTTTTTGTTTGCGATATTTATATTTAAAGTTTTCTTAAAATTTCAGGAATGGTTCCCTTGCATGAAGCAGCGAGTCGGGGGCATAAAGATGTGATTGAAGTTCTACTTTCTCTGAATGCGCCTGTTAATCCAAGAACTTTGGCTGACGATGTTCCTGCCGATCTTGCTAAACGCAATGGCCATTCTGAATGTGAAAAGTTTTTGCGTAAGAATATTTTCGAAAATCCTATACGTTAAAAATTAGAATTGGAAAAATTAAAAATAAATCCTAAAAATTGTATTTTCGTCTTTCTAGGCGCAAGCAATTGTTATTAGAGAAATATTTTTTTTTGCAGGTAATTATCAGCCACCGAGTCCAAAAGAAAAATTGAGCGATTGGTATCATGGAACTTTAGACAGAACAGATGCGATTCGTCTCTTACGCGAAAACGGCGACGTTGACGGTTCATTTTTAGTTCGATTGAGTTACAGAAATGGGGGAATGTTCGTTCTTTCTGTCATGCATCACAAGCATCCGTATCATTTTCAAATTCAGAAAAAAGTAAGTTTAACAGAGAAAATGGAGAAAATTTCCCACAAAAAGTAAAGTTTTAGAAAAAAATTCAATTTTTATAAATTAGTTTATAAATCAGGGAAAAGTCAAGGAAAAATAAAATTAAATATTTGTGGCAATCCTGAATTAGTTATAAATTAATTTATAACTTGGTTTCTGATTTGATGAATACGATTTTATTTATTAACAGGATGAATTTTTGTTTATCGACAACGGACCGTACCTTTCATCATTGGAACACGTTGTCGAGTATTATCGCTGCATTCCAGACGGACTTCCTTGTCCTTTACATCATCCGATGAAACCTGGACCAAAACCCCCAATTCCCAAGATGCCGCCTTCGATATTTAACGGGGTTCGTAAAACTCGACAACTTTGTAAACAAAAATTCCACTGTTACTAATTCTTCTTCTTCTTTTTTTCGTCTTTTATAGAGTACTTTAAAAAAGAAAAAGGAGGCAACTGTGAAAAAAGGATTTTCCGATTCAGTAATGAGTCAAACTTTACCGAAACGCTTCCATACGAGCAAATCCCTCGAAACGACAGAATCACTTCAGGAAAATTTACCACACTCGGCGTTCACCACACTTCCTAGACGATCGTCCCCTGGAACTGTTTCGCCGAAACCTGAAATCGAACCTAATCATAAAGGTTCGAAAATAATAAATTATTTTCATTTATTCAATACTTTCTAAGTCAATAGAAAAAATTAATTATTTGATAATAAAAAATACGATGAATTAATTTTTTAAAATTGCAGGTTTTATTCCATTTGAGAAACTTATCCTGGGTGAAATGTTAGGCGAAGGAGAATTCGGAGCGGTTTATCAGGGTGTTTATAAATCAGTTCCGAATAATGAAGAGCCAGTGGCGATAAAAACACTTCGTGATTCTTACAATAATGCACCAAGGGAGGAATTTTTGAGAGAAGCTCGCCTCATGATGACTCTTAATCATCACTGTATCGTTAAATTAATTGGATTCTCCGACGGACCGCCTTTACTAATGGTGACGATAAATTTCTCAATCGAAAATTATAATTTCTCAATCAATAATCTTTTGTTAAATAATAGAAATAGAAATTTTTTTTTATTTTTGTAAATGAGAGACAAAATTTTTTTATTTTGAAATATAAATTTTTGAATAATTTCATAATTAAAATTTAAAAAATTCACTTATTAGGAACATAATTTAAAAATTCTTCAAAAGAATTTAATTAGAATTTTCAAAAATTTAATAATAAAATTCTTCGCGAGAATTCAATTATTTTCATAAATAATAAAATTCTTTGAAGGAATTAAATTATTCTCTTTGATAAAAATTCTTTGTAAGAATTTAATTATTTTCAATACATTAATTTGAAAATTGAAAATAGTTGAAAATAAAAATTATTTAAAAAGTTAGGAAATAACAACTAACTTTAAACTACAAACAGATTATCGGAATGCAACGATTATTTTATTAATATAGATTTTTTATATACATAAATAAAAATTAATAAATTAAATTATTGTTCTTTAGGTTCAAGAACTCGTTTCCTTGGGATCAATGTTGGCGTATCTTTTAGAATTTCCCGATCGCGTTAGTCCTCAATATGAATTGAAATTGTGGGCCTCCCAAATAGCTTGTGGTAAGAAAATAATTTATTTAATTTTTTTTACTCACTTTGGATGAATATTATTAATATATTAATTAATTAATTATATATAAAATAATTAATTAATATATTAATATTATTATTAATATTAATTATTAACATTCAATATATAATATTTTATTATAAAAATAGAAATTAATTTACTATTAATTAATAATAAATATGTTAATTTATTGCAGGTATGAAATATTTAGAGGAAATGCGTCTAGTTCACAGAGACTTGGCAGCTAGAAATATTTTATTAGCCTCTAGGAATCAAGCTAAAATTAGTGATTTCGGATTGTCGAGAACCTTCGGTTCAAGTGATTATTATAAAGCTTCAGCTGGCGGAAAATGGCCGATTAAATGGTATACTTACCAATTTATAATAAACTCCAAAAAAGGAAGTTTAAAAATAAAAAACTTTCCCTTTCTTCAAATAACGTCGGCGAATGTTTATTCAAATTTGAATTTCAGGTACTCACCGGAATCGTACAATTTTGGAAATTTCACCCACGCAAGCGATGTTTGGAGTTACGGTGTTACTTTATGGGAAATGTTCTCTTATGGCGAGCAACCTTATGGTGATCGACGTGGTGTTGATGTAAGGAAATTTAAAAAAAAGTCCTAATCTTAAAAATTAGTTCTAGAGTAATTTTTTTAAGATAGAAAACAGAAAAATAGAATTTTTTTTTAAATTTAAACGAACTAATAAAAAGTTCTGCGTTAACTTTAAATTACTACATTATTGTTTCTATTTCAGGTCATTCAATTAGTGGAAAAAGGCGAGAGACTTCAAAAACCCGAAACTTGTCCCGATGATGTTTACAAAATAATGCAACAGTGTTGGTCGTACGAACCTGAATTACGTCCAACATTTAAAGATCTTTTAGAAATATTCAGTAGCGATCCTGATTACGCAAATATTAAGGAACTCGTCTCAGAAGTTGATATCAGCTGATAAAAACTTTTGTTCTTATAACTATTCTGACTGATCTACTTTTGTTACATAGAAAAGGTATCGATTCTTCTTGTAATTTTATCTCTTCTTTCACTCGTTAGATCAACAGGACTTTTACCATATTTTTTTTTCAAAGAAGGCCATAAAAAAATTATTTAACATAAAATTATATTTTTTAAATATTTTATTTTTACTGTTACTGTTTTTATAGGACGTTAAATAATCGATTTACATTAAAAATTTTTCCACTATTTGTTAAAAATATTTTTATAATGCATTTTTAATAATTGATTTGATATAAGAAAATATTTCTAAAATTATAACTAGATATTTCTTATATTATATATTGAAACTAGATTCTTAAATTTCGAGAAAGGAAAAAATTACAATTTTATGTTTAAAAATATTTATTAAGAGAGCAGGATTTTAGAGGATGTTTTTTGATATAATTATAGTTCATGGTATTCATGACTACAAATTTATAAACATTTATATAATAAATATATATACAGTTGAAATTGAGTCTTTAATTATATTTTTAGTTTATTGCCATGGGTAATGGAAGATCGGGAGTAGTCAAGGAATTTCTAAATAGAAATACAATAGTTATAATTTTTAATTCTTTAAGTAGGAAAAAAGTCAATAGTCTCTTGATTGTTGAAATTTTTTTATATGTATATATATTTTTCTTCATTTTAAAATTTTAAATTGTATTTTATAGACAGGGAGCAAACTCTTCTCTGTAAAAAATAAATCTGTACTTATATATAAATAGATCGTGGTTTCCAAATAATATACGGTAGTTTAACAAATGGTATTGATAAATATATATTAGTAATTATTAACTGTCTCATAATGCTCTACACTTTCCTGAGACGAAAGTCCATTGTTGCATTAAGAAGGCATTTTATTATCCAGTACGAAAATTTTCTTTCATTTTTTCAATCTAAGTAATTATTTCAATTGAGAAATTAATTTCGAAAGTTGAAATTTGAAAGAAATTGGAATTTCTTTTTTGAAATTAAATTTTGTTAACTCGGTGCAAGAGAGATAACATAGTACACAGACACAACTTGAACATTTTTTTTAAGACATTAACTACAGATTTATCCCTACGTAATATAAATATAAAATTCTACTGTTTCTGTTTAGGAAAACAGCTTTTTTTAGACAATAATTTAATGATATTACAATCGCCCCGAAAAACAACAATTATTCACTCCATTTAATTCACGCTTACGATTAATATATATTTATATACTTTTTTTTGAGGGGGGAACTTGAAAAGTTTACGTGTAAATTACTTTGCATGATTGTACGATTCAAGTTTCTTTTTCAACAACGATTATAAACAACAACTTGTATATCGATTTTACATACTTTGATGAAGTTATGAAATGTTGAAGACTTATTCAAGCATTAAATGCAATTTAACAACAGTTAACAAGACAATTTATAAATTTTCTCTCGAGAATATCATGAAGCGTTTTGGATAGTGCAAAAGTTTACTTTCAATCTGGAAATAAAAACTAATTTGTTATTTATTTTCTCGTATTTTAAACACATTATTTAAAATAGAAAAATTGTGTTATAAATTCTCAAATTTCTTCGAGAAATTCTCAACTCGTGTGCAATTTTCAATTTTCTGTGCATGATTTTTTTCAATTTCCTTGTGCATATTATCTGCAGCTACGATTTATAAATAAAATTAATTTTAAAATCATTTAAAACCTATTCTCAAAGATCAAAACTCGTTGATTTCGATTAAAATTCTACAAAACAAAAATAGTAAAAACGAAAATCGATAATTTAAAAATTAATGTCATTCACTTGGCGACAGTCTCCCTTTCGAGTTTATACTGGAATTTGGAAATTTTTTTTCGTTTAGTATAATTAAAAAAAAACTGTTTAATTAAAATTTTTACTAAGTATTACGGTTGGTTAAAATTTATTAGATTTTATTAAAGAAATTCTGAAGAAGAAAAAATTTCCAATTTCTAGTATAACTGGATTTTAGAATCGAAACTAAAGTATAATAAAATTAAAAAGAAAATAACAAAGGTCGTGGTAAAAAATTTGCAATTCGAATCAAAAGTATTATCACCAGGATTATGATAAAAAGAAAATTTGACTGAAATTGAATTGAAAAAAAACTGGATAATACTTGAGATATTGATTTGCATTCATTTTTATCTTACAATTATTAAGATTTATGATTCGCGTCTTGTTTTGACAAAACGCGATTTTAAAAATGATCGAAAGTGTTTCTTAGGCATTGCATGTGCGTTCTACTTTAGCGTATGCATTGATAAAGCACAAATGGAAAATAAAAGTAAATATCACATTGTCCTCACCATACATTGTCTGGTGATACCTTCCTTTGTACATGATAATGTGTGTATAATAATATTGTAACAATGGCAATGACTGCACTTTTCTTCCTTTTTCGCATTCATTCTCAAATTAAAATCAGTCAATTTTTTTTTCTTTTGTAATTCAAAATCAATCACAATCAGTAAAAATTAATTGGCACTGAATTGTTTTTTTTTAAAGTAATTGATTTTTCGATTAAAGTGACTGATTCTATTTCTTTTTCAATATTCCTTTCAGCTTTTCTTTATAATTGATTTCTTTTTTTTTTAAGTGAACTATTTTCTAATGGAATTCTCAGTTAAAACTTAATTTATAAAATTTATGCAACTCTTGCATTTTATTTGATTGGAATTATATTCTCTGGCACATAAGAGAGGGGGAAATTTAAACCTTAACTGTTGAGGAAGGTTTCGCTTGTGTTCGACGTCTCGCGAGTTCGGAGAGACCAACTGGACCAATGTGAGGTTTTCTTGGACTGCTTGACATCGCTCTGTATGTCGCTGCAACCTCGCTCTGAAAAAAAGTTTATAGTTGTTATAATTTCAATGAAATAATAATAATAGTAATTAGAAATTCTATTCAATTATTTATGTTTAATTTAAGTAATTTGATAGAAATATTTCGAAAAAGTGATAAAAATTGTTGAGAATTGCAAAACAAAAATTTAATATTGTTTTTCCTTGACTTTTCCCTGATTTCCAGACAAAATTTTAACTATTTCCCTGACCATAAAAAATATTCTATGTTAACTCTAAAAATGATTAGAAACTCAAAAAAAAAAAATTCTACTTTTTTCTGACTTTTCCTTGAATTCCTTGATTTCCCTGACCTGTGACAACCCAATTATTAGATTTTTTTTTACCTTTAATGAATCGCGATCTTTGGTGATGATGGGCAAGACTTTCGGTGGGAGATGCTGTCGATTGGCGATCCAGGGATATTTTAGTATACAAGCAGCAGTGGGTCTTCGTGTTGGATCCACATGAAGCATTCTCTTCACCAATTCCTTGGCTTCACTGGTGATTTGTGTCCAGACACCGGTCTCCACGTCCAAATAACCAGTGCCAATGCGATCCAAAATATCGTTTGCACTATCGCCAGGACTATTTGGAAATGGAGTATAACCGCTCAACATGATATACAATAAAACTCCAAGTGACCAAATATCACAGGCTGCATCGTATCCTTGTCGTTTGAGGACTTCCGGTGCAACAAAATTTGCCGTATAGCACGGCGTCATCAGTAGGCCATTTTCAGCTCGAAGCTGCTTCGCAAATCCAAGATCACAAATGCACAAAGTTGATGGATCGCCTCCTGGCTTTGCGTACAAAATATTCGAAGGTTTCAAGTCACGATGCACGACCTGGGGATGAAAAAAATAAAACTTTAGAAAAAATTAATGGTAAATGTAAATTTATAATGAATATTTAAGAGAATTTATAAATATTGATTTATACGAAAATATTTAACACACTTTTACATTCTTGAGGGAATTGTGTAATTTATTAGAATTTTACATTATTCGTAGAAAAGAAATTAGGTTAATAGAAAACAATTTCATTAGGGTATTTTTAGGGGAGGTCCGCTTCTGATCTAAATTCAATTTACTTAATTGAAATCCAAACATTTTCATAAAGTATTCAGTAATTTTTATTTTATCCGTTTTTCGGAAAAAATTACAAATAGATGAATGTATGTTACTTTATAGAAATAAAGTTACTCGATTTTAGAACAATTCTAAAAATACTAGAAACGATAAGAGAAATCAATAAATACCCCATTCTCGTGAAGATACTTGACAATACTGGTGATGACATAGAGAACTTCGGCCGCTTCTCTTTCAGTGAAATTACATCTCTGTAATAGACGATCGAGAAGTTCTCCGCCTCGCAAAAGTTCCAAAACAAGATAAACACGCTTTTCATCCTCATGAAGCGCACGAAGTGAAACAATATGTGGATGTCCACCGTATCGTAACAAAATTTCAATTTCCTCAGTTGGATTCTTTTGACACTTGTCAATAACTTTAATTGCATATTCACATTTTGTGGTCTTATGAACTGCATGATAGACGGTACTGAAACTTCCTTTACCAATTTCTTGTAAAAAATCATATTCTTCGATAACTTGATTGTGATTCACATAAGTTGGAAATGTACTCGTAATGCATTCGTTATTTTTCGCAACTTGATAGGTGGCATTCTCCTCCAAAAGACAGGGGGCAACAAAACTAAAGCCACGAAATAATTCATGAGCATTTGCACTTACTGGCACACCAGGTGAATCTGTAATCAAATCTTTACTCTAAATATTGTACGAATTTTTCTCATTGTTTGAAATTTTCTTTTTTCGATAAAGCTTAACAGTAAAGAGATTTCTTACCCTTGGGCGTTTTACAGGTGAATTCATTATCAAAATAAAATGCATGATCCTCACGACTTGCTGCCGGTTTAAATGGGGGTTTGATTTCTTTTCTGTACAAAGCTTCCCAATCGATTGTAGCGAAGAATACGTGATTTTTTATCTCTTCTCCTCCTCCTAATTGTGGGAGAAAAATTTATTAACAGTTGGAAACATTTTTTTTTTCCTTGATTGTAGAAATTGACTTTTACCATAGCCGAGACGATTGACCGGATTCCTCTTGAACAAGACTCTTAAGAGAGCTTGCGCTTCCGGAGAAAGATTACTCGGCATTCCTATTTTTGCCTTCAGGATGTGAGTCATGGTCTTTTTTCGACTGTCCCCTTGGAACGGAAGTGAGCCCGTCAGCATTTCGAACTGCAAGAAAAAAATGTTTTTTTTAAAGAAAAATTCTTCTGGAAAATTTTTTTAGTTCTTTTAGAAGAAAAAACTTTACCATTAAAACTCCATAACTCCACCAATCGGCAGCGAACGAATGTCCTTTTCGATTGACAATTTCTGGTGCCATATATTCGACAGTACCACAAAACGAATAGGTTTTCGTATCATCTAAAGGTTGCTTACTCAGTCCAAAATCGGTTAAAGATATGTGACCTTCTATATCTAATAAAATGCTAAAAATACATTTCTTCTTATTTCTCTTTTCTAAACATTTCTCACTTTTTTTTGTTTGTAACTATATTTTTAACTCCGTTAATGAAAAATCAATAAATACTGACAATATACTCACTTTTCCGGTTTTAAGTCACGATAAATAATACCCAATTTATGAATGTGATCGAGTGCCAATGCCAATTCAGCCAAGTAAAATTTTACATCCTCTTCAGTGAACATTAACTGAAAAAAGATTTAGAAAAAAAAATTCAAATTGTTCCAATCGAGTAATTTTTAAGAATTTACAAGTTTTGTGGAATTTGTAAATAAAATTAAATTTCCAACCTGTTTGGATAATCGTGAAAAAAGATCTCCCCCTCGTAAAAAGTCAAGGATCAAATAGAGTTTCCCTTCGGTTTGAAATGCATAGTGCAGTCGAACGATAAATGGATGTTCCACATCGACGAGAATATTACGTTCCATTTTTGTTCTAACTCGGTCTCGAACTGGAATTTAAATTCAATTATTGTTTCACATCGAAATTTCAATTATTAAATAAAATAAAAATCAAATTAAAATTAAATTAAATAAAAATACAAATAAAAATACAAATTGAATAAAATTAAATAAAAACAAATTGAATTAAATAAAAATTTAATTGATTTAAAAATTTGATTAAAAAAAAGTTTCCAGAATTTTCTTTTTGAATATTAAGTAATTTTACTTAATTTTCACCTTTAAGAGTTGCTTTTCTCAAGACTTTCATGGCATAAAGTGTTCCAACATCTTTGCCAAAAATTTTTCTCACAAGAAACACCTGTAAAAAAAATTAGTAAAATTAGATGAGTAATAATTTTTTTTTACGAAAATAAGAGATTTTTTTTCAATATTTAGATTCGTTTCCAACCTTGCCAAAAGAACCTTGACCGAGGACTTTGAGCAATTCGAAATGTCCTGGTTCGGCTTTTTCAAGACCATCACGAACTACTTCACGCACTTCAATCTCGTGGGATTCAGAACATCCGTTTGATTGCAATTCTATCGAATTTTGAGTACATATGACCTCCTCATGATTATCTGATACCATTTCCGCATCTTCTCCTTCAGACGGTAACATCACAGATTCTTGCTACATTTTCAAAAAATAATTACAAATTTTCGAAAAATTATTACTAACTTGTATTTTTTTAACGAAAAGAAAATTTAACAAACAATTTTTTAATGAAATTTCGATAGATTTTGCTTTTATTTAGAATTAAGTATTAAAAAAAAAAATAAGCGATCATGAACGAAAATAAAAATTCTAAAGGAAAAACGAAATAAGGAATGTAAAATGAAATGAAAGTAAATGTATCTCACCTTGTTATGGTTCGTGATTATCTACATAAGAGAAGAGGAAATGAAAAAAAACTGAATTAGATATAAATTGATAAAAATGATAAAAATTAAAAACTGAATGTCAGGAATTGGATTACATTTTTATTGGACTATTGAAAAAGTGAGTAAAACAATTGAGATGTTTATTTTTCTTTTATATTAATAAAATAACACACGAGGAGGAAATAATAATTCTCGTGATCGTTCAATTAAACTGGAATGTCATATTCATTGAACATTTATTGATTTCCTTTTAAAAACTGTTATAATTTAAATCCAATTATTTCTTTTCACTTTTTTTTTTTTTTTTTTTTTTTTGTTCTCGAGAATAAAAGAGATTTATAAATATAAAAAGCCAATACTTTAAATTGAAATATTAGAGAATATCCCATCATCAGGAAATGAAAAAATCTTATACATATAAAAGTTTCATAATAAAATTTGATTCGGTGTCTTTTAAACTCCGATCAATAAAATTTGAGAAAAAACTTTGAAATTCTAGGTTTATAATCTAATTTCTTTGAACGATAAGATTTTCTTGACATTTTTCACGTTTATTCTTGGATTAAAATTTATCATAGGGTTTAGTTCATTAAACTATGAAAATTCTATCAAAACAGATAAATAAATGTACAAGGTCCCAATAAAGTCAATAAACAATTTTTGTTTGTTTTCTAGTGTAAACAGAATATTTTTGTGATTGTAAACAAAAAATTAGGGACAATTTAATAAAGATTAAAGAAACTGATATAATAAAGGCTTAATTATCTTTTTTTATGATGAAAACTATAAGAATAAGGAAATAAACAATTTTTATATTATTTTTACTTACATGGTTTTGACTCCAGGGAAGTGTCAAAGTTGCCAGCGGCATTGTTATCTTTGTTGATGATTTTATTTCGTTAGATATTAAAAATGCCACCACAATATCATTTTCAAGAGAAGATGTTGTTGGAGCGGAAAATTATCAATGATTTATCAAGAGAAACTTTCTTTTTTAAGCACTCAAAATGGAATAAATTTTTTTATAAGAAAATATCACGTTACTCCTGTATTTATCGACCACAAAAGCACAGTGCAATTGAGCCAGTGACGTTAAGCTTAAGTTCCATTCACTCTCGAGTCTCATTTATTGACGTCACATGGCGGAATTTTCAAAAAGAACTTTCTCAAAAATGTGTTAAAAGAAAATTAAATTTATATAAAAGAGGTGTTAAAATTTCATATTTGAAGAATTATTTTATAAATTATTTCTTTATTCAAGAATGGGTGATTAAAATATTTTGTTTGCAATTTGTTAAAAAACATAGCGGGAAGTGCATTTAAATCACGTGACTAATACTCGCGACATGTTAACTCGGCCTTAGGATATAGAATCTGTCAAAATGTCAAGCATGTGCGTTCAATAATAACTAAATAAAAAACGTATTTATTATTAAAAAGTGTAACGATTGATAATGGTGATAACTGTAACAATTGCTCGACATTCTAAAAATATATTTAGTCAATTTCCGTTACGTGTAAGTGTCAATTCTTCCTTATTTATCAACTTTTAATTTTTTGAGGTTATGTTCTTGTATTTTTGTTTTTCACCTGTTTTTCATTCTTTATAAATTCTTTTAATCGATTTGGACAAATGAATTAGGAATAATTAAGAATTAAGAACAATTGAATAATTTATTTATAACCCTAAAATTTGTCTTGTAAATAAAAATAATCAAGTAAATCATACGATTTTCGTATACTTTAACATTGATTTCCTTATTTTTAACAACTTTCGTGTTTTTTGTAGATTATAAAACGTTATAATTATAATTCACAAGAACGTTGGAGAAGGACAAAAATGTTAAATGAAGCGCTACCAGTGAGCAGGAGTGATCCGGTGATAATGAAATTAGATACACCGGAATTTCATTCGATTTTAACACCCGAGGTAAATGCGCTCACGGATCTATTTAAAAAGTACAATTACGAAATAAGAGTAGCTGGCGGTGCGGTACGTGATATTTTAATGGGTAAAACTCCAACGGATCTTGATTTTGCGACAACTGCAACACCCCAAGAAATGAAGGAAATGTTTACAAAAGAAAATATAAGAATGGTAAATTCAAATGGCGAGAAACACGGCACGATAACACCGAGAATTAACGATAAGGAGAACTTTGAAGTAACAACATTACGAGTAGATGTTGTAACCGATGGTCGACATGCAGAAGTTCTTTTTACAAAAGATTGGAAACTCGATGCAAATAGGCGTGATTTAACAATAAATTCCATGTTCCTTGGCTTCGATGGTAGTGTCTACGATTATTTTTACGGTTACGATGATCTTCAGAAGAGAAAAATTGCCTTTGTTGGAAATGCCGCTACTCGAATTCAAGAAGATTATCTACGAATTTTGAGGTTTATTATTTAATTAACGTATTTTTTGATAACCAGGGTTGCCACAGGTCAGGGAATTTAGAGAAAGTTCAATTCTGTTGAAATTAGTTTCAATTTTAAAAATTTTAACGCAATTCTTTGAAAGAATTCAACTATATAAAACATATAATAATTCTTTCCTCAAATTTAATTATTTTCATAAATAAAAATATTCATCACCAGAATTTAATTATTTTCAAAATTCATTAAATTCTTGGACAAAATTCAATTATCAGGAATTTCAATTCTCTTTATAAATAGCAAAATTCGTCGACGAAATTCAATTATATTCAAGAATTTAAATAAAATTCATTGCAAAATTCAATTTTTTTCATAAATAACAATATTCATCATAAGAATTCAATTATTTTCAAAATTCATAAAATTCTTCTCAGAAATTTAATTATTTTCAAAATTTTTTTAAAAAATTGTCAACATTTCAATTATCTTTATAAATGAATAGCAAACTTTTTGGACAAAATTCAATTATTGTCAAAATTCATTAAATTCTTGGACAAAATTCAATTTTTAAACAAAATTTTTTATAATATTCATAACCAGAATTATTCAATTATTTTTAAAAGTAATAAAATTTAATTATTTTCATAAATAACTATATTCATCACAAAAATTCAATTATTTCCAAAAAATTTTAAAAAATTGTCAACATTTCAATTATCTTTATAAATGAATAGCAAACTTTTTGGACAAAATTCAATTATTTTCGTACAATTGAATTGTTAACAAATGGATTTAAAAATTCTCAAGAAGAACTTTTTTAAAAATTATTAAAAGTAATTGATTTAAAAAAGAATGTTATTTACAAATTTTAATTCACATGGAATAATAATAATGATTAAATATTTATTTAAATATGAAGTTATTGGTGTTTTCGAAGAAATTTAAATTTAAATAAATTTGTAAATAAATGGGATAGAAAATTTTTTTGAGTATCTTAGAGTGAATCAAAATATTCTTTAGGGTCAGAGAAAAAGTCAAAATTTTGTCTGGAAATGAGTGAAAAGTCAGGGAAAAAGAAAATAAAATTTTTGTGGCAACCCTGATAATATAGTTCATTTTTGAGTTTTGAGTAGAAAAAAAAATAATATCAACATTTGTGATCATGCAACGTCCGGTATTTTAGTCGAGAAAGTGTTTGGAAAAATGTTGCATGCAAAAACGTCTTTTACGTAATTGGTCTGCATTCATGATGAATTGCATGTGATAATAATAAATAGGGCGTTACAATGTTTCTACTATATGTGTAATATACCTGCAAATTATGTAAACTATTCTTAAGTTTACCTTAAATACTTTCTCGAAATTTCTCAACATTTAATTAACTTTAAGTTTCCTGAAATGGTCGAAAGCTTTTACGTTTACCGTAAATTATCCATTTACAAAAATTCTAATTATTTTTATTCTATTTAATGAATTTCTATTCTAATTCTTAATTTTTATTCTAATTCTTAATTTTTATTCTAATTATCAATTTAATTTTCTTTAGGTACTTTCGATTTTACGGACGAATTGCAGACAGTGCGGAGAATCACGATGAGGGAACGATAAATGCAATAAAAGAGAATACCGATGGTCTGGAGAGAATATCGGGAGAGAGAATTTGGAACGAGTGGGCAAAGATTTTGGCAGGTAAATTTTATCGTGAATTAACAATCAAAATGTTGGAGTGTGGCTTGACGAAATATATCGGCCTACCGGCGAGTCCAAATTTGGAGAATTTTCTCACTGTTTCGAAACGTGCGGAAGCTGAGAATATTATTTTGAAACCACCGACACTACTCGCTGCTTTATTAAAGAACGAAGAGGAAGTGATGGATTTACATTCGAGATTGAAATTCTCCGCATTTGAGAGAGATTTGGCTCTTTATATTGTCCAGCATAAGGACGATATTTTTACCGATAAATCACTGAAGACCTTTCAACTCTTTCTACTCGTTAATAAGGGGAAAATTAACGATAAACGTGAATTCGTTCTCGAATTATTTCGCTATAAAGGACAATTTCATCTTATTGAGAATTTCAAAAATTGGAAGTTACCATTATTTCCCGTCAATGGAACAATGATACAGCCTTACGTGTCGAGACCGAAATTAATCGGAAAAGTGATCGCAATATTGCAGGAAATATGGGTGGAGAATGAATTTAAATTAAATCAACAAGAATTAATGAAGTACGTACCTGAAATTGTCGCTGAATTCAAAGATGTTCGAATAGCAAATAAATAAATTTATTTTCAATTTGAAAATTTTCTATTCATAAAATTCTTTAAAGAAATATTTCGAATTATAAAAAAAATTTGAGTAAAATTTACGAATGAAACAATTTTTCGCCAATTTAGTGGAAATGAACGGAACAATTAAGTTGGCACGTGGGAAGTTTAAGTAAAACGTGTCTCTTGTTTTGTATTGTATCTTGTAACATGCGTGTCGGCTAGACGGTCCTCTTGATTAGTTTTTATGGACGAACGTGACGTGCACATCGCACATCTCGCGTATCTCTGAAGCCATGAAGATAATATGATGTTTAGTTTGTGTTTCGTGTGTATACTCGGGTAAAATCTACATATATACCAGTAGAGGTAGAGACGAACAAGAAGAAGGTAGAGCCAAAGCAAAAACAGTCTACACGAAACCAACAAAACAATACTGTCTTGTTGACACGTGTACTTACACCCCGGTCGTTTATTCATCTCTTCATTCTATCCTCACAAGAAGTTGATCGTTTTTTTCCAAAAAAAAAATTCCCTTCGCTTTCAAATTTCGAAATAACTTCTTCTTTCCTCACTGGCTTTTTAAATTTCCAAAAAGTGGTTTAATTAAAATTGGAATTAAACCAGAGCTCGAAATAGGTCCGTAAATCCTGTAAAGGTCCGTAAATTTGCTCGAAGTCTGTAAAAGACAGTTTTTTTGAAAAAAAGTCCGTAAGTCCGGAATTTGATTGAGGAAAGGCGAAAAGTTCGTAAATTGTACGATACAATTTGGAGGATTTTAGAGAAATTACAAATGATTGCAGAAATTCAATTATTTTCGAAAGTAATAAAATTCTACGCAAAAATTCATTTATGTTCAAAAATTTTTAAAAATTCTAGTCAAAATTTCAATTATCTTTAGAAATAATTAAATTCTTCAAAATTCAATTATTTTCAAAAATTTTAATCAAATTCTAGTAAAAATTCCAATTATTTTCAGAAAATTTCCTCAATTCAATGATTTTTATTATCTATTTTTATAAAATTTTCCAAAAAAATTCAATTACTTAAACAAAAATAATAATTTCCGATAATTTTAGATTTTTTACCAAAGAGTCGAGACTATTAAATAAGTAAAGTATTTTCCAAAAGCACAAAAATAATAAAGCTAAATTCCATAAAAGAGAGGAAAAAATGTTGAATTTTAAGAAATTCGGTTTTTTGAATTTTTGATAATTTCCGATAAATTTAGATTTTTTACCAAAGAGTCGAGACTTTTTAATAAGTAAAGTATTTTCCAAGAGCACAAAAATAATGAAGCTAAATCCCATAAAAGAGAGAAAAAAAAGTTGAATTTTAAGAAATTCGGTTTTTTGAATTTTTTCGAATTCTTGATAATTTTAGATTTTTTACCAAAGAGTCGAGACTATTAAATAAGTAAAGTATTTTCCAAGAGCACAAAAATAATGAAGTTAAATTCCATAAAAGAGAGGAAAAAATGTTGAATTTTAAGAAATTCGGTTTTTTGAATTTTTGATAATTTCCGATAATTTTAGATTTTTTACCAAAGAGTCGAGACTTTTTAATAAGTAAAGTATTTTCCAAGAGCACAAAAATAATGAAGCTAAATCCCATAAAAGAGAGAAAAAAATGTTGAATTTTAAGAAATTCGGTTTTTTGAATTTTTTCGAATTCTTGATAATTTTAGATTTTTTACCAAAGAGTCGAGACTATTAAATAAGTAAAGTATTTTCCAAGAGCACAAAAATAATGAAGTTAAATTCCATAAAAGAGAGGAAAAAATGTTGAATTTTAAGAAATTCGGTTTTTTGAATTTTTGATAATTTTCGATAATTTTAGATTTTTTACCAATGAGTCGAGACTTTTTAATAAGTAAAGTATTTTCCAAGAGCACAAAAATAATGAAGCTAAATCCCATAAAAGAGAGAAAAAAATGTTGAATTTTAAGAAATTCGGTTTTTTGAATTTTTTCGAATTCTTGATAATTTTAGATTTTTTACCAAAGAGTCGAGACTATTAAATAAGTAAAGTATTTTCCAAGAGCACAAAAATAATAAAGCCAAATCCCATAAAAGAGAGGAAAAAATATTAAATTTTAAGAAATTCGGATTTTTGAATTTTTGATAATTTCCGATAATTTTAGATTTTTTACCAATGAGTCGAGACAATTTAATAAGTAAAGTATTTTCCAAGAGCACAAAAATAATGAAGCTAAATCCCATAAAAGAGAGGAAAAAATGTTGAATTTTAAGAAACTCGGTTTTTTGAATTTTTTCGAATTTTTGATAATTTTAGATTTTTTACCAAAGAGTCGAGACTATTAAGTAAGTAAAGTATTTTCTAAAAGCACAAAAATAATGAAGCTAAATCCCATAAAAGAGAGGAAAAAATGTTGAATTTTATTAAAATTTTGTATAGAAAATTCAATTCTTTTAAATAAATTTTATTAGATTTTTTGTAAATAATTAAATTATTTTGAATAATTTCTTTAAGTTTTTTCAAAATAATGTAGTTTTTTTTAATAATTTTAATTTTAAATTTTCAAAATATAATTGAATTCAATAAAGAATTTTTTTTACTTTTTAAAATATTCGTGACTGTTAATAATTATAATTAAAAATTTGTTTATTGACTTTTCTTAAATTTTAATTGAAAATAATCAATTATTTTCAAATTTCTGAGAAGAATTTTTTTATTTATAAAAATAATTCAATTGTTTCGAAAAATGTGTTGAAATTTTAGAAAATAATTAAATTCTTTCTAATAATTTAATCCTTTCGAGAAATTTAATTTGAAATTGTTTTAAAAATACTTGAATCCCTGAGAAGAATTTTTTTTATTTAAAAAAAAGTAATTGAATTGCTTGGGAAAATTTATTTGAATTTTATAGAAAATAATTGAATTCCTTCGAAAAATTTAAAAAAAAATTGAATCCTTTCGTGGAATTTTATTAAAACTGTTCTAAAATACTTGAATCCCTGCAAAGAATTGTACTATTTTTAAAGTAATTGAATTCTTCCGAAGAATGTTATTATTAATGGGAAAAAAAACCAGTCCGAGTCAAAGGAGGGAACATTTCACTTAAAATATTCAAAATATTTTTAAATACTTTCACTGGTTCGAGCCCTATTATGAATGTTTCAAAAATAAAAAATAGTAAATTACGAGAATTGAAATTAATGTCCAAAAATGAAAATTGAAATTTGCCAGAAATTGCAAGGGTTGCAAGGTATAGTAAATAAGTGAAATTTGCAAATTAGCTTTCCGAAATTAGTTTATTGTCTCGATTTTGTGTTTTGTCAGTCCACCTAATGAGCGTGTACAGTGACCTTATACCCACTTGAACAAAGCCAGAATATCTCATCTATGCGGAGAGAGAGAGAGAGAGGGGTAAACATGCCACTAATTAGCAAAGGCTAAGATGGCAATATATGCTCCTCTTCCTCTTCTATCATCGAAGATGGTAACCATATCACCAGAAACCCGAACTTCCGACTCTGAAATCGCATCAGACGGACAAGTGTGTTCTATCCAGTTCTATCTGGTTCTATATATACTTGAGATAGAGTTAAACCCGTACACATTGTCTGTTGGAATCTCTTGACGATTTGCAGTATATATAGAGTGAGAGAGAGAGAGAGCGAGAGAGAATTGTGCTGAATCTTGATCTAAATTACTAGTAATTGGAACCGGTTGCTCGTTCTGTGTTAACAGAACAAAGAACTTCTGTTTAGAATCCCTTCAAGTTGTTTAGTTTCTCATGATACGTACACAGTGTGTGTATATAAATTTAGATTTCTAAACAAATACGATCCACTATCGTATATATGTGAAGTTGAATAATTAAATTCGACTTTATTGATTCAAAATTAGGGACTTTATTGAATTTTGAAAAGTGCACTTTGGAGAAAAAATTGTTGATTCTAATGATTTATTACTTGACTATCGTATAGATATTTATTTGGAAATTTTTATTTTTCTTTAGATGATTAGATATTTATTTGGAAATTTGGATATTTCTGTAGATGATTAAACATTTTCGACTTTTTCAACTTTTTTCGAGTTTTCTGAGGAAATGTGACTTTTTTCGTCTTTTTTTGTAAAAAAATGCGACTAATCGACTTTTTCGAGATTTTTTTTTTTAGTAAAATGCGAGTGAAATTAAAAAAAAAATTTTAAATTTAAAGGAAAAAATGTTTGAGTCAAAAAAAATGTTCTGTTACATTTATTTACAAATTTCTTTCAATATTTTCGAAAACATCAATAACTTCTTTTTTAAATAAATATTTAATTATTATTTTTCCATAGAAATTAAAATTCTTCAAAAGATTCAAATTCAAACATTTTTGAAATTAAACAACTAATAAAAAATTGTTATAAAACATGAAGAAATCGATCACTCCGATTCTTCGACTCGGAGCAATCGATGTCTTCATGTTTTATAATAATTAAAGATGACCGAGTGATAAAATCATTATTTTATATTTTATGACTAATAAAAAAAAAAAAATTTTTTTTCATTTTTTATGAAAATAATTGAATTATTGGGAAGAAGTTTATAAAACATTAGTAATTGAATTTTGCAAAAGAATGTTGATATTTACAAAGATAATTGAAATTTTGAGGAGAATTGAAAAAAAATTTTTGAAAATAATTGAATTTCTGTGAAGAATTTTCTTACTTTTGAAGATAATTGAATTTAAAAAAAAATTATATCAGAACTTTTGAAAATAATTAAATTTCCAGGATGAATTTTATTATTTATAAAAAAAACTAAAAATTTTAACGAGAAATTTAAAAAAAATTTTGAAAATAATTGAATTTCTGCGTAGAATTTTATTACTTTTGAAAATAATTGAATTTCTAGGATAAATTTTATTATTTATAAAGATAATTGAAATTTTGACAAGAATTTTATTAAAATGCCTCAAAATAATTGAATTTTCGGGAATAATGTTGTTATTTATCGAAATCATTAAACTCTTTCAAAGAATTATTTATGAAAATAATTGAAATTTTGACAAGAATTTTATTAA